GTTGGCTTTGAAATGTGATCCTCCAAGTCTCAACCTCCTGAATGTCCTGTTTTTTAGAATCTTTGCCAGCTCCAAGATTTTGTTTTTTCTTTCTAGGTTGGTTTTTTGTATATGCCATCAATGTCTCAAGTCATGTCTATCAAGATCAGCACTCAGAATCAGAGGGGAGAGAGAGAGAGATTGAGAGACAGAGAGACAGAGAGGGGGGGGGGATAGAATTATTCCATTTGTCTCTGCCCCAAATCATAAACAAAATTTTGTTGAAATGATAACTATGAGGAGCTTGACTCCATTTCCCTCATTTTGTATTATGTATTTATTTTCTAAAAGATCACAGCTTGATTTACTAATTGAAAAACGTGTCATCTTTCCCCACAGCAGGTGCTTAGCCATGCAGACTTCTGTCTTGCATACTATCAGTCCTTGAGAGATAGCAGAAGGCTGAAAAAAAATGCCTTGTTTATTTCTTAGAAGTCTTGGACTATAGTTTCGGCCTTGCCACTGTTGGCTTAGGCAAGTCTTTTAACTTTTTAAAGTCATTTTTTGTAAACATTTTTATCTTATATAGAAATAGAAATGTATCAGGGGCTGGGAAGGTGGCTCAGTGGTAGAGCGCTTGCCTTGCATGCCTGAGGCCCTGGGTTCGATTCCTCAGCACCACATAAGCAAAAAGAAAAAAGCCAGAAGTGGCACTGTGGCTCAAGTGGTAGAGCGTTAGCCTTGAGCTGAAGAGCTGAGGGACAGCACCCAGGACCAGTGTCCAGGCCCCAAGACCGGACCCCGCCCCCAAAAAAGAAAAGAAATAGAAATATATCATATAAATATGAAGAGAATAGACAAAGGGATAGGGTGGTTTCCCAGGTTGCTTACAGATCTGAGATTTAATATTGTATCATTGTTGAGCTGAGTCAAGCAGAGCTGGTTCATATCTTAATCCTCCTTCCTTCCCACCTCTACCTCCAGTCCAATGATGGTGGGCAGTATCCAACGATGGTGGGAAAATAGGAGTCAGACAATCAGGTATCACAACGTGAAATCTCAGTCAACTACATTGAAATGGACTGGAAAGTAGTCTCTTGAGCCACTGGGAGAAACTGTTTCTGGAACAATTTTTAATTTCAGATTGTTCATCCAGTACGTGTTTATTTAGTTGTTTACTTTCTATTCTGTTTCTGTTTTTTTTTTTTGTTTTTGTTTTTGTTGGTCCTGGGACTTGAGCTCTAGGCCTGGGCACTGTCCCTCAGCTCTTCAGCTCAAGGCTAGCACTCTACCACTTGAGCCACAGCGCCACTTCTGGTTTTCTAGTGGTTTATTGGAGATAAGAGTCTCACGGACTTTCCTGCCCCGGCTGGCTTTGAACAGTGATCCTCAGATCTCAGCCTCCTGAGTAGCTAGGCTTATATGCGCGAGCCACTGGCGTCTAGCTCTGTTTCTGAACTAGTTGTTGGTGTGTTATTCTGGAGATTGGCCCCAGCACATGGCTAGTATTACCTCTGGCAGTGCAGATATACAAGTGTTTTCAATTAAACTTTAGGGACGTTCAGAGCTCCAGGCTATGAACTTCAAAGACTGATTGCTACATATGTGAGAAACTCTGGCTTGTATGTGATCAGCCTAAATGGACTACATGGCATCTCTTTTGTTTAAAAGAGTAGGGAAGGGATATATATGGGTAACTCATGGCCTACTGCATCAGTCACAATTCTTCAAAAAAAAAAGGTTTTTCTACAGAGAAACATCTGCATTTTTTTGTTTCTTTAAATCATAATCTGGGGCCTGGGGGTGTGGCTTAAGTAGTGGAGCACTTCCTTAGCAAGTACAAGGTCTTGAGTTCAAACCCCAGTACCAATATCTATATGTGTGTGTATAAAATAATGATTCAGAATACTGAATGATGTGTATGTGTGCGTATGTTGGTGACATGTTAATTTAGTTGCTTTTAAGAGAACAGGAGGGCTTAGGCTATGGCTTAGTGGTAGAGTGCTTGCCTAGCATATATGAAGCCCTGGGTTCGACTCCTCAGTACCATATACACCAGAAGTGGTGCTGTGGCTCAAGTGGTAGAGTGCTAGCCTTGTGCAAAAAGAAGCTCAGGGCCAGTGCCCAGGCCCTGAATTCAAGGCCCAGGATTGGAAAAAAAATAGAGAGAGGAAATGTGATAAATACATTTCAGAAGAACTTTTTGTTTGTTTGTTTCAGTCCTGGGTCTTGAACTCAGGGCCTGGACACTGTCCCCAAGCTTTGTCTGCTCCAGGCTAGCTCTCTACCACTCGAGCCATAGCTCCATGTCTGGCTTTTTGGGTGGTTAATGATGAGTTTCAGACTTTCCTGCCTGGTCTGGCTTCAAACTGTGATCCTCAGAGCTCAGCCTCCTGAGTAGCTAGGATTACAGGCCTGAGCCACTGGTGCCCAGCTCAGGAGGGATTTTGAATCCACTTCTAAGATGTTTCACTCACATAACTGCTAGCAGGAGGCTTCACATCTTTGTCACATGGGCTTCTCTGCAGGGCTGAGTGAACATTCAAGTGGCATGGAAACTGTCTTCCCTAAGATTTAGTGAGCAATCCAAGAGACACAAAAAGGAGGAAGCTGCAGTGCCTTTTATGACAGTCTTGGAAACCACCGACTATCATGTCTTCCATATTCTCTGTGTTAGAAGTGAGTCACTCAGTCCAGTTCATACGCAGGAAGAGGGAAATTAAGCTCTTCCTTTTCGAAAGGAGGAGTATCAAAGAATTTGTGAGTGTGTTTATAAACCACTACAAGGAGAAACGGAGGGTAGTTAACAGACAGTTAAACACTAGGTGTGAGAATCAGAGGGGCTCTTTGGTAGCTTCCCAGCCCTTCTGTCCTGCAGTGGGAGAGCAAACCTACTGGGGAGCAAACTCAGGAATATGCAGAGCAAACTCAGGGTCTGACTATTCGGTCATCAAACTTTAATGATGGTTGAATGCTCAGTACAGACTGGTGTGTAATGCTAAGGTCAGGTCTCTAGTTGGGAAAACCTGAGATCCTAAATGTGAGATAAGAACATTAGAGTAGATGCTTCTGGAATTTTTTTGTACCTGTCCTGCGGCTTGAACATAGGGTCTGAGTGCTGCTGTCCCTGAGCTTTTGTGCTCAAGGCTAGTGCTTGAGCCATAGCTCCACTTCTGGCTTTTTCGGTGGTTAATTAGAGAAGAGATTCTCTTGGACTTTCCTGCCCAGGCTGGCTTTGAACCATGAACCTCAGATCTCAGCCTCTTGAGTAGCTAGGATTACAGGCGTGAGCTACCAATGCCCAGTTGCTTCTGGAAAATTTAACTTTGTAAACCCTCTGATTCTTCAAAGCCTACTGACGTGGTGCACCCTTTCCTATTGAGAAACCCCTTTCCCGCATTGGGGATTGAACTCAGGCAGGGACTCCAACACTGGAGCCATGCCCTAAGCCTTTTTGTTTGTATTTCGGTTGTAATATATGGGCCTCACTAACTTTGCCATGGGGTGGCTTTGAAATTTTGATCTTTCTCTCTCCGCCTCCTGAGTAGCTGAGATTATAGGCATGTACCAACACACATTCCTGCTAGGAGCTAGTCCTTTCCCTGGATGGGAACTCAATGGCCCCATGACGGACATAAAAAAAGAAAAAGTAGTTTTACAAAGGAGTGGCCATTTAACAAAGCAGTTTATGTATACAATGCATTTTGTTCAATGTCATCTTGACATTTTCACCAATCCCTCCCAACCTACCACTTCCCTCACTTTTTTTTTTTTTGCCAGTCCTGGGGCTGGGGCTTGAACTCAGGGCCTGGGCACTGTCCCTGAGCGTCTTTTGCTCAAGGTTAGCACTCTACCACTTGAGCCACAGCACCACTTCTGGCCTTTTCTGTTTCTGTGGTACTGAGAAATCAAAGTCATGGCTTCATGCATGCTAGGCAAGCACTCTACCACTGAGCCACATTCCCAGCCCTTCCCTCACTTAAAAAAATTTATAGTATTTAATAGAGCCTCTATTTTCCAGGGACTCTTGTTTCTATTGTTGGGATGGCAAAACATGATTGTTTTAAAAATTGTTGTAAATGTTGTATGCACTTTGCTTTTTTTTTTTATTAGCTATAATCCAAAGTGAGCCCTGTAACTCTGTGTGTGACTCAGGACTTCCTGATTGTTAGACATAGGTGCTCTACCACTTGATCCATGCCCCCAACACTTTTTGTTTTAGATATTTTTCAGATAGGGTCTTACTTTTTGCCTTGACCATGATCCTCATATTTATATTTTCTGTGTTGATGGGGTGATAGGCACATGGCATTGTACCTCGATTTTCTTTTCTTTTTAATTTTTTCTTAGGTTTCCTTTTTTTGGTATCTCCAGTTACTGGCAGAAGGCAACAGCTCAGTAAAAATTAATTGGATGTCATGGAAAATAAGGTCATAGGGTGAACCCGTTTTAAAACTGGCCTTGAAACTGAGGGTCAGCCAAGATGTGCAGCAGTCAAACACTAGGGGGCAGGCCAAGATTAGAAGAGGAACCATTTTTTTTTTTTTTTTCCACATTAGGTCAGTGTTTTTTAGCTTTGGTTTACATTGGCATCATAGGTGCGCCGATTTAAGTGCCAAAATCCAGGTTGCACCCATGACCAAATCAAAATCTTCAGAGGATGAGTTCCAGACATTACTATTTCGGAAAACTGCTCAGGAGGTTTCAAAGTGGGTGGGGGGTTAAGGATGAGGGGAGTTCAACCGGGCGGAGCCCTGCCTTGCCTCTACATCACGCCGCGGAGGTGTGGCGTGTTCCAATTACTCAACAATGGCGCGAAGAGGCTAGTCATTTGGTTAGCAACGTGCCTCACGTAACTGATTGAGTGGGAAGTTTCACAGACCCAGGCTCCAGCCTTCCGCCAATGAACGATCAGAGGCTGCCTGGCGCAGCGTGGTAGTCCCGCCCCCTGAGCAGCGTGGTCCCGCCCTCTTCAGAGGCTCCGCCTGCTCACCGCGAGGCCCCGCCCCCGGGGCAGCCTTCTGCTAGGGCGCGGTCCGGGAACCTGATCCAGGGTCCCCAGCTCGCGCCCGGCGCCCGAGCTGGTACTGGCGCTTTTCTCTGGTCTGTTTCCCTTCGCTGGGCAGCACACGGCTGTTCTGCAGCTGGGAGCAGGATGAGACGAGCAACACAGAGGTAGGTGGCAGGGCGTGGGAGGGCCTGGCCACACGATGTCCCTGAGTACCCACGCCCTCGGTACCAGCTGGGAGACGGCTGGGCGGAAGAAGCAGATCTTGGCGGGCGAAGCCAACAGGTTGGGCCTTAGGGCTTGAACATAAAGTTGTGCCAGTTCACCACGAACCTTTATGGACTTGGGCCTATCCACCTCGATTGGGGGCACGCTGGCTCACTACAGCGATATGTAGTATGGAGTCTGATATTAAAGGCAAAGCACTACTTGTAAGGGAGGAAGTTGGGTGTTCCCCCTGAAATTCCTTTCTTGTTGCTCATCGAGGGTGTGGGTGGCAACTATTTGGGGGTAGCCACTTGTCAAAAAGCTAGTATTTGGAGTTCTACCTGACCTTGCCAACCGTTACTCTTCATGAAGAACATTTTTAGGGTTAAGTGCGTGACACACTTGGAATCTGACTTAAGTGTTAGCACATGGGCAAAGATTTCAGGGTAACTTTGGCCCTCAGTGGATTTACTATTGTGTAACTAGAGCCTTGGCACTTACTGTAACTTCTTTTTCCTTCCTTCCTCCCTCCCTCCTTCCTTCTGTCCTTTTTCTTTCTTTTCTTTTTTTTTTTTTTGAGACAGCATCACTATGCAAGGTTGGCCTTGAATTCTCAACCCTGGCAATGGCACCTTTCATAGCTGGAACTTCACCTTAAAGAGCAGCGAGACCCTTGTAGGGGAGGTGTTTGAATTGGACCCACTTGGCTAAAAATGGCTTTTGGTACCAGCTGGTACTGTTAAAGACTGATGGTTTTATTTTCTGGTGCTCCCCCCCCTTCCCCATGTCTGGTGCTCTACCACTTGAGCTATCACTCTACTTCTGGCTTTTTGGTGGTTAATTGGATATGACAGTCCCACAGACTTTTCTGCCCCAGCTGGCTTTGAACCATGATCCTGAGATCTTAGACTCTTGAGTAGCTAGTATAACAAGTATGAGCCATCTGTGCTGGGGTTGAACTGAGGCTTTTAGACTTCTGAGTGTTGTCTGTCTCCAACGCACTTTTCCAAATTCCTTCTGCTGCTTTGGGTTTTAGTGTTCGATTCTACCTCTGTGCCTGTCACTCTGGTGCTGCCCAGAGAGGTTCTGACAGATGTTTAAATGATGTCAGCAGTCTTTTGGTAGTCCTGGACCTCTCACAGGTCCTGGGAACGTTACAATCAGTTAGATGGCTTAATTCGATTCCTCATAGTACCTTGAGTGTTGTACTTTTCTTTTGTAATAATGGATTTGAACTTGGGCCCGTGAGCTTGGTAGGCAGGCGCTCTATCACTTGATCTTCATCTCCATCCCTTTTTTCCCTCTAGTTATCTTTCAGATAGGGTCTTCGCCTGAGACTAGATTTGACTTCTAGATATGGCATCCTGGATGGCTGAAATCACTGGTGTGCCACCAGGCCCAGCTTCCTTGTTGAGATGGGAGATCAGGTTTGTCTAGGCTGCCCTTAAACTTTGATCTTCCTAATATCTGCCTTCTGGGCAGTTAGGATTAACAACCTGAGGCACAACACCTAATTTTATTACTCTGTTTGAAGACAGGTTGAAAGTACAATAAGAGCACAGGCTCTGTGAAAAGCCGTGGTTTGCCACGAGACCTTGTGTCCTTCACCCTCCATTTAGAAGTTCTCCTTTGCATTGAACTTCCATAATCTTTTGCACCTTTTCTTGTGAGGCCTCTGGAAGCTTGCACAGGTGTCCCGTCAGTGTCTAATGAGACAGACTGAGATGAGTAGCTTGTTTGACTCATGTGCATCCTATAAAGCTATAAAGCTTTTGTTTCAAACTCATAAGCGTCACCTGACTTTGTTTAGTCTGTAGATTGAGGGATTTCCTCAGAGTGGAGGATTTACGAGTAACATTTCTTACTATTACACCCATAAAAGCTTCCTTGCCACCCATTAAGCCTGGGACCCAAGGTGGAACCATGCCATTTCTATTCACAATTCCAGGTACTCTGACTCCCTAGGCCAGCAATGGAGAAAGAGAGGGGGAGAGAGGGCTTTTTGGTCTTCTTTAGTGGGAAATGTTCAAGGGCTCATGCAGATTCTACTAAACGCTTACGAGGTTTTTATTTGTTTTGTTGTTGTTGGTGGTCGTGGGGCCTGCACTGTCCCTGAGCTCTTCAGCTCAAGGCTAGTGCTCTACCACTTGAGCCACAGTGCCACTTCTGGCCTTTTCTGCTTATGTGGTGCTGAGGAATCAAACCCAGGGCCTCATGCATGCAAGGCAAGCGCTCTACCGCTGAGCCACCATCCCAGGCCGCTTAGGAGTTTTGTTGTGAGGTTCTTTTGGTTTTCTCGGGGGTTGAGTAACCCTGAAAAACTGAGGGTGTTGATTAAACCATGTTCCCACCCCCTCCACCTCTACACTGAGCCAGAGTGCTAGTTCATTAGTACTGGGGGAAAATCATCTGAAATTAAAGGTTAGGTGTTTTTCTTTCTTTTTTTTTTTTCTTCTGCTATTGGAGATAGAACTCAGGGTCTTGTGCTTGCTTGGTTGAGCAATGCTTCTGGTTCTAAAAACCTCAGTTTCTTCAACTAGGTTTTAAATAAAAGCTAAGCACTGGTGGCTCCTGCCTATAATCCCTAATTACTCAGGAGGTGGAGCATTAGCCTGGAGCAAAAAAAGCTTGGGTACAGTGGTTCAGGCCCTTAGTTCAAGCCCTAGGATAGGCAAAAAAAAAAAAAAAAAGCCAGCACCAGTGGCTACTAGCTACTCAGGAGGTTGATATGTAAGGATTGCAGCTCAAAGCCAGCCCAGGCAGGAAAGTCTGTGAAACTCTTTATCACCAATTAACTACCAAAAAGCTGGAAGTGGAGCTGTGGCTCAAGTGGTAGAATGCTAATTTTGAATGAAAAGCTGAAGGACAATGTGCAGGCCCTGAGTTCAAGCCCCAGTACTGGCACACACACACAAAATATAAGGGCCCATGAGACTACTGAAAGCGGATGGTCTATGGACTTCTTGAAATAGTATATACCATTTTATTTGTGTAGTGGAAATGTATTCCTGTAACCCTGGCCTTGGGACTCTGTAGTTTTTATTCAGATTATCAGTAGATGGGATACCAAATTGTTGTGAAAAGCTACTACTACTTGAATGTTAAGTTTACAGTATTTAGAAATTTATTATAATCAGCATGTTTGATTTTTAAAAAAATGATTTCAAATTACATCTTCGTTGTGCCACAGGAGTATATTTTCCAATTTCTCTCTCCAGGGCTTGCCTAGAGGGTCACAGTGCCTGGAATTGTGCAAAAAATAGGGCTTCAGTGCCATCATTTTCCACATGAATTGGCCCAAATGTTTCTCAGTATTCCTCAGCTCCCTGCTTTAATATTTCCATTTGATTTGCATTAAGAAGTGTTCTATTATAGTGTCTGGCTTACTTGTTTTGTCATTCCTGGGGCTTGAACTCAGGGCCTGGGCACTGTCCCTGAGCTGTTTTTGCTCAAGGCTAGCACTTTACCACTTGAGCCACAGTGCCACTTCCAGCCTTTTCTCTTTATGGGGTACTGAGGAATCGAACCCAGGGCTTTATGCATGCTAGGCAAGCAACCTACCAACTAAGCCACATTCCCAGCCAATGTGGCTTACTTTTTAAATTTCTGGTTCTTTTTTTTTGGATTCTGTGCTAGAGATCAAACCTAGGACCTTGTGCATATTAGGTAAGCACCACTGAGCTACAGCCTCAGCACTGTTCTTTTGGTCTTTTATAATTTTTTTTTGTCGGTTGTGGTGCTTGAACTCAGGGTCTGGGCACTGTTCCTGAGCTGCTTTTGGCTCAAGGCTAGCGCTCTACCACTTGAGCCACAGCACCACTTCCAGTTTTCTGGTGGTTAATTGGAGATAAGAGTCTCACAGACTTTGCTGCCTAGACTGGCTTTTAATCGTGATCCTCAGATCTCAGCCTCCTGAGTAGCTAGGATTACAGGCGTGAGCCACTGGCGCCTGGCTTGTTCTTTTGGTCTTTAGAAGAGACTTTGAGAAAGAATGGCTTTTGAAAAAGGAATTTCTCAAATAATAATGTTGAAAGCTTTTTGGGGATTTGGAAATGAACTGCATGACCCTAAGAGTTTAATATGAGTTACCTTCTTTCTTCTAGGATTGTGCTATAGGATAGGAACTATTATTAACTTGTTTTATAGATGAAGAAACAGGCTCAAGGTGGTGAGAGAAGGTGCCCGATGCCACTCACTTAATAAGCAACATAGGCACGTCCTTAGCCCCTTTACCACGCGGCCTCTCTCAGGCCGGGAGAGTGCTCATTGCTGTTCAGATCACGCTGCTCATTAGAATGACAGGACAAAAATCCTTTTGCACTTGGCCCAATATGGGCAATTGCACCTGTTAGTTTGTGGTAAGAATTCCAAGTATTTGTTGTCCCCCTCCAATGGTATCTGATTCTTTTGCTCATTGGCAGATACCTTATTACCAGAGTGACGCCTCCAACCTCAAATTCAAAGTATTTAGCCATTCAAAGTCAAGAGTCCATTTCTTACATTGGATGTACTTACTGTATCTATTATAATTGTTAACTTATGTTAGGTTTGGCTTGATTTTCTCTTTCAGATAATGGTAGCAATGGAGAGGATTCACTTTTCCCTTATGTGTTCTTTAAAATTATATGTGTTAAAAACAGACTGTTAGTTTCTGGGTGATTTTCTTAGGAAATAATAACCCATTTCCTTCAGAAGATAGGAACCTGTAGAAAATGCATTAAATGAAATGGTAAAAAAAAAAGTGATAGAGAATTCAAATTATGTACTCGGAAATGAAAATTACAATGTTGAGATCAGGAAGATTAAATGTGTGCAAATACAGAAATGGAAAATTTGTGAAAGATAAAGCCAAAGTAAATAAATAAGATAGAGGTTTGTTAGTAATATGATTGAAGAATGGGGCCAGGCTCTGGTGGCTTACACCTGTAATCCTAGCTACTTAGGAAGCTGAGGTCTGAGGATTGTGGCTCAAAACCAGCCTGGGCAAGAAAACCCATGACACCTTTGTCTCCAATTAATCAGCAAAAAAAAGAACTGGAAGAGGAGGTGTGGGTCAGGTTGTAGAGCACCAGCCTTTAGCAAAAAAGCTAAGGGACATTGCCTAGGTTCTGAGTTCAAACTGCAGTATTGGTGTGTGCATGTATATGTGTGCATACACGCATACACATAAAACCCAAATTGATAGCCCTTTATTTAACTTTGGGGTCTTCATGGCCCATCAGGGATTATGTGACAACCAAATGAGGTGGGCAAGGTTAGCCCATGAGCAAGTGCTCATATTTATGTGTTTTTTTGTAGTTAGATTAGTTGGCTTGGTGGAAGGTCAAGAATTTGTTCTCAGCTGGGTGCCTCAGCTCACGCCTGTAATCCTAGCTACTCAGGAGGCTGAGATCTGAGGATCTCGGTTCAAAGCCAGCCTGGGCAGCAAAGTCCATGAGACTCTTATCTCCAATAAATTACTAGAAAACCAGAAGTGGCGCTGTGGCCCAAGTGGTAGAGCCCTCCTCGTCTTGAGCTGAAGAGCGCAGGGACAGCGCCCAAGCCCAGAGTTCAAGCCCCACGACTGACCCCCCCCCCAAATTTGTTCTCACAGCACAAATGTGTCAAAACTACATGTAGGTGTTACAAAAATATTTTTTACTGACTTTCTCTGAATGCTATAATTCAGGAGAGGAACTTACATTAGCTTTTGCTCTTTATTATGGTTAGTCATATCCACATTAGTTACAAAAAATTTCCCTACAGACTAGCAGTGGCTCATGCCTGTAATCCTAGCTATTCAAGAGGCTGAGATGTGAGAATTATGTTTGAATCCAGCCCAAGCAGTAAAGTCCCTGAGACTTACCTCCTGTTAACTGCACACAAGCCAGAGCTGGGGCTGGGGCTCAAATAGTAGAGCATAACCTTGAACAAAAAAGCTCAGAGGGAGGGTCAGGCAAGGGTGGCTGACTTTTTAGGAGGCTGACTTTTCAGGATCTTGGTTTGAAACCAGCCCAGGCAGGAAAGTCTGTGAGACTATAAAACTACTAAAGAAAAAGCTGGAAGTGGTGCTGTGGCTCAAGTGGTAAAGCATTCGCCTTGAGCAAAAGCAACTCAGGGATAGCACTTAAGTCCATAGTTCAAGCCCCAGGACTGGTAAAAAACCCCTAAGAACTCAGGGACAAAGTCCTCAGGACTGGTGCGCACATGCGCGCATACACACACACATACAGAATTTCTAGTAACTTGACTAGAAGAGGGAACAGTGTCAGGATTCTTGGCTTCATCTGTGCTTTCAACTGTGTTCTGAATTTGTTCTTCCCTGATAACTAGATGTTACCTCTGGTAGAAAAGTGTGTGGTTAGCAGCTGACATTTAAGCCATGCTGAGCAAATAGAGATCAAATATAACCAACCTCCCGTTAAGAGGATAGGGTAAGTCCATTTGGGTACATCACTTTTATTCCATTAGGAATCTAGGAAATTTCTGCAGAAATCTAGTACATCCTTAGAGTCTACAGAGGGCAAATTCAAAGTTCAAAAGTGATTAATAGTAGGAGTTATCTTATTCAGTGTGGTTTGATAGTAAGGAACAAACCAAGTGTTAGTTTGCTCAATGATTGGTCAGATCAGTCCTGGGGTACTGAAGCCAGTAAAGTAGAAAAAGCAAGATTAACACCATGAAATTGGGGCTGGGAATGTGGCTTAGTGGTAGAATGTATGCCTAGCATGCATGAAGCCCTGGGTTTGATTCCTCAGTACCATATAAAATGGAAAAAAACAGAGATGGTGCTGTGGCTCAAGTGGTAGAGTGCTAGCCCTGAGCAAAAAGAAGCTCATGGACAGTGCCCAGGCCCTGAGCTGAGTCCAAGCCCCAGGACTGGCAAACAACAACAACAACAACAAAAAACCCAAAAAAACAAAACACCTAACCATGAAATTTAGTTCATATATTTTTGTATAGTTTTGGAGACAATTACATACTTGTCTTTTACTCCCAAGCAATATTTGGTGGGGAGAGAGGATTTGTGCAGTCTCTTATTTGCAGCTGTAACACATACTTATGAAATAGCCTCACGGTATACACTAAGGAGGTGGCATGAGGGGCTGGGAAGGTGGCTCAGTGGTAGAGTGCTTGCCTTGCATGCATGAGGCCCTGGGTTCAATTCCTCAGCACCACATAAGCAAAAAGAAAAAAGTCGGAAGTGGCGCTGTGGCTCAAGTGGTAGAGCACTAGCCTTGAGCTGAAGAGCTGAGGGACAGCGCCCAGGCCCAGAGTTCCGGCCCCATGACCGGACCCCCCCCCCCCCCAAAAAAAATAATGTTTGGCCTGGGAAGATGGGTCAGTGGTAGAGTGCTTGCCTTGCATGCATGAGGCCCTGGGTTCAATTCCTCAGCACCACATAAGCAAAAAGAAAAAAGTCGGAAGTGGCGCTGTGGCTCAAGTGGTAGAGCACTAGCCTTGAGCTGAAGAGCTGAGGGACAGCGCCCAGGCCCAGAGTTCAGGCCCCACAACCGGACCCCCCCCCCAAAAAAGGAGGTGGCATGGCTAGATATTCTGAAAACAAAGGTAGGTCTTTGGGGTTGCCAGGAAAGAAGCCCTGGAACATCCCATCCCCTTCCCTGTCTCTCTTTGTATGCTGGTTTTAGGACTTGAAATCAGGGGCTTGAACACTGTCCCTGAACATTTTTGCTCAAGGTTAGCACTCTACAACTCTACATAGCACTTGACCTCCAGCTCCAGTTCTGGCTTTTTGGTGGTTATTTGGAGATGAGTCCCATAGCCTTTGTTGCCTAAATTTACTTTGAACTGCAATCCTCAGATCTCAGCTTCATGAGTAGCTAGGGTTTCAGGCGTGTTGAGCTACTGGTGCTGGGCTGTGGGCCCTCATTTCACTGTGTTTTATCTTGTTTTACAGGCTTTGTGCCCTGAGCAAGGGGCTCATTATTCCTGGCAGAGGACTGACCCACGAATCCTGGGATGCCAACAAGCCGAGAATCTACATGCATGAAGGCAAGTGTGGATGTTGACTTTTTGTGCCAATGTGGTAGAAAAAACTGGTTTTTTTATTTGAGAGGTGTCTAGAGTCATGGTTTTGGGCTAGTGAAACCTATGTATTAAATGTAAAAGTTTCATTGATACAATGTCTTAGACTAGTTGAATAATAACTTTGGGTAGAAATTACCTTCATAATCTTTGTCATTTCTGGTACCCTGGGTGTGGGTACTGAAGGCATGGGAGAGACATGGAAAAGAGATTGGAAAAGAGATGTATGTACCTTGCCAGGCGCTAGTGGCTCACGCCTGAAATCCTAGCTATTCAGGAGGCTGAGATCTGAGGATTGTGGTTCAAAGCCAGCTCAGGCAGAAAAGTCCTCCTTAGACTCTCATCTCCAATTAACCACTCAAAAATTGGAAGTGGTGCTGTGGTACAGTGAGTGAGTACTAGCCTTGAGAAAAAGACATCAGAGACCGCATCCAAGCCCCAAGTTCAAGCCCCATGACTGACAACAAAAAGAAGATGTACCAACTAAACATTCCTAATCCATGGTTTTTTTTTAGGATGATCCTGTTAATCCAGGCTGGATTGAAGTTTGTTTCATTTATTAATAATGTGTGGATTTCCGTAATGTAGGATTATTCATATATCTCTTTAAGGGTCCACGTAAATATGTATGAACATATATGTAAATAAGATATAAAAATTCTGCTTCTTCTTGATTCTTAACGTTTGCCTCACTTCATACTGCCTAACGGAGTAATAAAGCTGGGCACCAGTGCTTCATGCCTGTAATTCAAGCTGCTCAGGAGGCTGATATCTGAGGGTGATATCTTGAAGCCAGTGTGGGCAGGAAAGGCCACGAGATGTGTATCTCCAACTAACCAACAAAAACTGGATGCAGAGGTTGGTTCAAGTGATGGAGTACCAGCCTTGAGTGGAAATAGCTAAAGGACAGTGCACAGACTGACTTCAAGCCCTATAACTGGCAAAACAAGCAAGCAAGCAAAGAAACAGTCACTTTGTGGCAGTGAACATCAGTTGTCTGTATATTTTTACTGTCCTTTTATTCAAGAAAGAAGGTGAAATTAGCTAAAAACACAAACACTAGTAAGACTAACTTATCAGACTAGTTTAACATTAACTTGCTTTTTTTCAGTTCTTTATGATGTAATTCTAGCTACACCAAATACACTGAATTTCCTGTGTGAACACAATTGTCTGATAGAAAATCAACCTTGTTGCATAAAGTTTGTTAATGTAACCATATTTGGTTTGTATTATATAGTTACTGCAGGACTAAGGATAGCTGTTGTTAATTTCCCGTGCCTAGAATATCTGTTTTGAAATGAGAAAAACATTATTTGGAAGACTATAGGTTTGTTTTCTTGTTTTGAAGTATTGATGATATCTAATTAATTTTCCCTTTATCCATATAGCACGTTCATCTCTACATGTGAATGATGGTGTGTGGTAATTAGAATCAACTTTTCTGTTCAACGTTTTTCTTCTGTCTTAAGCTAATTTTGTCTTGCATGCGAGCATGAACTAAAATTCACCTGCATTCTTGGCCTTACCTTGCTTTTTTTTCCTCTTCTGGCTTAAGTTGTTGTAGCAATTTGGATAGTAGAAATACATGATAAATCAATTATAACTAGACTCAGATTTAGATATAAGTATTAGTTCCTGAACTAAGGTTTTTTTTTTTTTTTTAATGTACTACTGCCTATAAGATGGGTGGAGATCCCGAAGCTGGGAGCTGATGGCTCATATCTGGAGTCTTAGGTACTCAGGAGGCTGAGATCTGAGGATTGTGGTTTGAAGCTAGCCCAGTCAGAAAAGTCCATGAAACTTTTATCTCCAGTTAACCACAAAAAAAGCCAAAAGTAAAACTGACTCAAGCGCCTTGAGCACAAAAGCTCAGGGGGATAGTGTTCAGGCTCTGAATTCAAGACCCAGAAATGGCATAATAAATACGTGAATGAATGAGTAAATGGACTGAACTCCTGACACTAAAAAAGCCTCATGAGATGAATACTTTAAAATTATTCCTTTGGTTTCCAAAAATGCCCAAGTGATTGGCACACAGGTATTCATACCTGCACTAAGAAGATAGTATCGTTGTTTTGGGATTTTCAGGGAGCTGCTGCACTACATGGGAATTCAGGACTCTTTGAAGGCTTTTCAGTGCATAAATCACTTTTCATAATTCTTGAGCTCATTGCCATAATCCAGTTCTCATATGTCTGTTTCGTAGAGTGACCTCTTTATTTTCGTTTCAGTTCGGGATAAGTTGCGAGAGATAGTGGGAGCATCCACAAACTGGAGGTAAGAGCTTTTGTGTTTCAGCTCGAGGATTTTGTTCAGTGATCTTATAGCTCTGTAGAAGGCCGTGTTGGTGGGATGGAGATCCTTGTTTGGAGAGGCATTAAGAGGTGTGTGTTACCAACATTGTTTTTTTTGTCAGTTATGGGGCTTCAATTCAGGGCCTGAGCATTGTCCCTGAGCTTTTTCACTCGAGGCTAGTGCTTTACCACTTTGAGTCACAGCTATCCTTCCAGTTTTCTGGTGGTTAATTAGAGATAAGGGTCTCACAGACTTTCCTGCCCTGACTGATTTCAAACTGCCATCCTTTTATCTCAGCCTCCTGAGTAGCTAGGATTACAGGTGTGAGCCACTGGCACTTGGCTCAACTTTTTTTTTCTTTTGCCAGTCCTGGTGCTTGAACTCAGTGCCTGGGCACTGTCCCTGAGCTTCTTTTGCTCAAGGCTAGCACTCTACCACTTGAGTCACAGTGCCACTTCTGGCTTTTTCTGTGTATGTGGAACCGAGGAATCGAACTCAGGGCTACATGCATGCTAGGCCAGCACTCTGCTACAAAGCCACATTCCTAGCCCTGAGATCTTATTCTCTGAATAACCGTTTCCATCAAGGTGAATACATGTTTCATTTGAATATATCTATATACTTTCTAGGTATGTTTTCCTTATCTACAAGCACAAGCAGTGTCCAGTTACTCCAAGTGGTGGGTGGGAAAGGAAGAAGGAGAAGTAGGAGGTTCACATTCACTTTTGCTAGTGTTGACAGGCCTTGGGTCACAGGGGATAGTGACGGCTCTTGCTTTATGAATATCGCCTTTTCTTCTCAGAGACCACGTGAGAGCAATGGAGGAAAGGAAGTTACTCCATAGTTTTTTGGCTAAGTCACAGGAAGCACTACCTCCTAGAAAAATGAAGGACAGCTTTATTGAAGTTTTCTTGCCTTTGGGCAGTGAGCCTGAATTACGAGAAAAATATTTGACTGTTCAGAACACTGTAAGGTAACATGGCAATATCTTTATTTGTGTTTTTATTTCCAACTAAGCAATTTATTTGGCATATGCTGTATTATAATTCATCTATTTAAAGTGGACAGTCCTGTGATCTTTAATGTATTTAGAGAGTTGTGTGATCATCACTGCTTCAATCTTAGAATTCTTTCATAGCCACAGAGTGCACAACTTACTTTTAAAGAGAGATTATTCTGATATTCATCACATTTATTTTGCTTTATTTCATAGATTTGGCAGGATTCTTGAGGATCTTGACAGCTTGGGAGGTACTTGTATTAATATTTTTAATACAAAGTTATACATTAAATAAGATGACTTGAAATGGCCTTTTTATACAACTTGCACATTCTAAAAGTACCAAAAGGGGTGGGCTCCATCGCTTAGTTGGTTAAAGCACCTGTCTTGTAAAAGTACCAAAAGGAAGGTTATCTATTACCTTTAAATTGTCATAATTTCCCCCTGTAAATAAAGATTTCTATTTAATGGGTTGTAATTGGAGTAAGTCTTCTTCCTAATAATTTTTAATTTTTGTTTTAAAATTTGTTTTGGTTGTCAAGGATTAAACTCAGGGCCTCAGCACTGGTAAGAACAAGCTCTAGCACTAAGCTATAGCCTCAGCTAAAGAATTGCTTTTTTCTGAATTGTGAGAATAAGTTGTCATATTACCCCAAAATATTTCAAGGTGTGTTTGCTATAAAGAAGTGTAATCTCACTAGGTGCTGGTGGCTCACGCCTGTAATCCTAGCTACTCAGGAGGCTGAGATCTGAGGATTGTGGTTCAGAGCCAGCCGGACAGAAAAGTCCATTAAGACTCTTATCTCCAATTAAACATCAGAAAACCGGAAGTGGCACTGTGGCTCAAAAAGGTAGAATGCTAGATTTGAGCAAAAAAGCTCAGAGACAGTGCCAAAGCCCTGAGTTCAAGCTTTATGACCAATCCCCCTAAAAAGTAATCTCTCACATAACCACAGTTACAACCATCAAAATCAAGAAATTATTTTTATATTGTCTATCCTCTGATCTCATTCAAACAAACCAATGGTTCTTTTTCTTTCTTTTGGCAGTACTGGGGTTTGAACCTTGGCTTAGCTTGCTTGCTCACAGATGGTGTTCTACCACACCATCAGTTCTGCTTTTTGCTAGTTATTTTGTAGCTAAACTCTTGTGGATTTTCCTCCCCAGGCTGGCTTTGAACTATGATCCTCTTGATCTCAGCCTCCTAAGTAGCTAGGATCATAGGTGTGAACCACTGGTGCCTGGATATTGGTGAATAAAGATGCGGTACCGAATCCCACCTTGCATTTAGTAGTAGTTGTTGGAATATTTCCTCAGATTACAGGCCAGTTCTTTTGTCAGTGGTTCATTTTGTTCCCCTTTTTTTGGTGTTTGAATTTAGGGTAGACTGCTTGCTAGACAGGTGCTCTACTACTTGAGTCATGACCCCAGTCCTTTTGGTTTTCGTTATTTTTTGAATAGGGTCCAAAGTTTTAGCCTAGGCTGTCCTGGACCACCATCCTCCATGATATGCTATGTGAGTAGCTGGATGACAGGCACATACCATCACAGCCAGCTTTTTATTGGTTGACATGGGAATCTCAGTAGGTTTTTATCCGATACCCCATCTAGGCAACCCCCTCATCCTACTTGGGCTACAACTCCCTGCTCCATGCTGCTTTGCTTGTTCCCACACGATGATTTTTGGACTGCACTGCCGGAAAGGGCTTTGAAAGAACTCCTCATGACACTGGAAATACCCATTGTCATGCTTGTACCTAGGTTACCTAGTAACAAATTTACGTTGGTCTTTACAATATAAACATTCATACTTGCTTATCTGTCTTTGGTCTACTTACTTGACTATATGCAGGAATTCCTCTGCTCTTGCCTCTTTTGTTCCCATTACCTCCAACTGATCAGTCCTTTTCGTCTGTTCACTTAATTCTGTTTCTTCCATTTCATTGAAGAACTTGTCCAATCTTCCGCTTACGTCACAAACCTTTCCCCAACTTTATTTTTCCCTCAAGTTATAAACACAACGAAGTTCTCTTTTTTTTTTTTTTTGTCAGTCATGGGGTTTGAACTCAGGGCCTGGGTCCTCTCCCTGAGCTTTTGTACTCAAGCCTAGCATTCTTCCACTTTTCCACTCTTCTACAACTCCACTTCCAGTTTTCTGGTGGTTAATTGGAGAAAAGTTTCATGGACTTTCCTGCTGGGGCTGGTTTCAAACTGATTCCCAGATCTCACTCTCCTGAGTAGTTGGGATTACAGGTGTGAGCCACCAGCACCTGGCTAAGGTAATCTACTTAAAAATAAACAGGTAAAACTCTCTTCCTTCACAACACTCTCAAAGTGTCTTTGCTAACTTTCTAGAAAGAACTGGAAGCCGTTTGCTGTCGCGCTGTGTTCCCACTTGTTATTTGTTGGCTTCCTATGTTGTGGATTCTGCTCTTCTGTGCCATCAAAACTATACTTGCCAAGGTCACTATTAGTCCCCTTATTGCAAAATCTCATTTCCATGGCTTTGTGACCCCTTTGTAGCTCCTAACACTGTCCCAGCACACCCCTGGCCTCTGCTGCATATTCTCTGTAAATCATCTGATCGAAACTATTTTTTTTTTTTTTCCTGAGGCTTGAACTCAGGGACTGGGTGCTGTCCCTGAGCTTTTTCCATTCAAAGCTAGTGCTCTACCACTTTGAGCCACAACACCGCTTCTGCTGTTCTGGTGGTTCATTGGAGATAAGAGTCTCACAGACTTTCTTGCCTGGGCTGGCTTTGAATCTCAATCCTTAGATCTCAACTTCCTGAGTAACTAGGATTACAGGCGTGAGCCACCTGCTTCTTGGCTATCTCATTGAATCTTAATGCTTCAGTTGCACCTGATATGCTGAATACTTAAGTCCTCTGTTCTGAGTTCCAGCCAATTTGTCTTCCTGCATTGGTATCTTAATGTGGGCATGCTTTTCCGCTTCTCATACTCAGCATGCTGGGTGAGGGTTATAGCTAAGTCAAAAGGTGCTTAGCTATACAATGCCTTAGCACTACAGAAATATGGCAACTAATTGGAAATGGTACATTTTTGCTCTTCTTGTATTCACAAACTTGGGTTTCTTAATTCTCATCAATTCTAACATAAAAGCCCCTGGATCTTTTCTTCTACTGTCACCATAGGTCAGACCCACAGGATTTCTAGGAACCAGAAATGCCTTTAAATAGGGTTTCTTGCCTTTAGCTGCTCATGCTTCCTTGCATCCTTTAGCAGGTGCATATAATCATTCAACAAGTGTTTTAAAAAGTATACGTTCTGTCGTGAAGATGGGTGGTACACATCTGAACAGGTCTAGGGGTGTGGGGGGGAAACAGGGAGGCCAGTAAACACATAATTATACTCATCTTTAAATGTATTGATATTTGTAAGGTGCATACAGCCATGCTTGGCACAATTGTATGCTTGTTAAGATTTGGAAGTATGCCGGGCGCTGGTGGCTCACGCCTGTAATCCTAGCTACTCAGGAGGCTGAGATCTGAGGATCGCGGTTCAAAGCCAGCCGGGGCAGGAGAGACCGTGAGACTCCTATCTCCAATAAACCACCAGAAAACCGGAAGTGGCGTTGTAGCTCAAGTGGTAGAGCGCTCGCCTTGAGCTGAAGAGCTGAGGGACAGCGCCCAGGCCCAGAGTTCAAGCCCCACGACCGACAAAAAAAGAAAGAAAAAAAAGAAAAAAAAAGATTTGGAAGTATACAGAAAACAGTGAGAGTTGAGGGTATGGTGGGGGCAAGGGACATGGGTAAAATAATTTTTTCATGATTAGGCCAGTCAAGATGTAAACAGATAGCTGAGTCTTTGTGAAGATGTTCGTTTTATACTTTCAGATGTATGCTGGGTTTTCTCTTACTCTCTCTGTTTCTCTGTGTTGGTACTAGGACTTGAACCCAGGGCTTTGAGCTGTCCATTGGCTTTTCCAAGGCTTGTGCTCTAACTCCTGAGCCACAGCTCAACTTCTGTTTTTTTTTTTTTGGTGATCAATTGGAGATAAGAGTCTCACCAACTTTTCTGCCCTGGCTGGTTTGGAATTTGAATCCTCAGAGCTCAGCCTCCTGAGTAGGTAGGATTACAGGTGTTAGCTACCAGCTTCTGGCTTACACTAGGTTCTTACTGTGCATTATGTTTCTTGAATGGTAGCAAGCCACTTGGTGGTCTTGGGCTTTGGTTTCCTCACTGATTCTGAAATTGAGGGGGCATACTGGAGTATCTCCAGATCTCTTCAGCTTTATAGAATCTTTGATGCCAGGCTTGGTGGTAGACACATGTAATCCTGGTGCTAAGGTAATTAGTAGAATATTAGTTTTCAACACATGGTAAGACTTTGTTTAGTAATAACACTTTTTCTGGATTTCAGGGAGAAAGATGTTAGTGTTTTATCTTACTTGATATTCTCCTGTTTTTCCTACAGTTCTTATTTCCTACATGCACACCAAAAATCATTCTGTTAAGATGTCTCCTATATCCATAGTCACAGCCCTGGTTGACAAAATTGGTAAGCAGTATTGATTTCTAAGCATGCTTATAACTTTTAATAATTTGAAGATAGTTTTGAGATAAGAGGAAGTATTCTTTGGGGGAACTTGAATATACATATATAAATATGAAAATATTTTGAATACATGATAACAAGTTATTTATAGAATTAGGTATAAGGGTTTTGCAAGATTCCAGTTTTTTACTTTTTATATTCTTTACATTGTGTCCAGTTTTCAAAAGTCACACAAAATTATTTGATGTGTCCTAAAATTAGTTTTGAAGACCAGAAATAAATTTACTAGGATTTGCCAATTTTTCCAGTGATTTGTTTATAGTACAGAAAAAATGTCAGTAGGGTTTACATGCCAGTTCACTTTCTGTTTTTCAGATATGTGTAAGCAGAGCTTAAGCCCAGAGCAGGACATTAAGTTCAGTGGCCATGTGAGCTGGGTTGGGAAGACGTCCATGGAAGTGAAGATGAAAATGTTCCAGGTCTGTATACAACTGAGGGTTGCCCCCTGTTTAAATACAAGCAGCTAATCTCAGAGGCAGAGAAAGTATCTATCTATATGCTGGTGTGTAGCTCATAAGAGCTAGATAAACTACTGACAGTCCACGAGATACACATGGTGGGTTAATATCTTCCTCTTGGACAAAGATGGATACATTCTTTGATGTTTATATTTAATATTTATTACTTTGTAATCTGATATAATGTCAAGTCAAAGTGCGTGTTTCTGTTTTTAACCAAGGAGGATTTCACAAGTCTGAGTTATGTTAGATGTGAATATATTTGATCACTATATTATTTTTCCTAGGGCTGCTGTACCACAAAGTACTACAAACTGGTGGCTTAAAAAAATCCCAGAAATTGCCAGGCACAGGGGGCTTACACCTGTAATCTACTTAGGGGGCAAAGATCTGTGGATTGCAGTTTGAAGCCAGCCCAGGCAGGAAAGTCTGTGAGACTCTTATTTCCAGTTAGCCACCAAAAAGTTGGAAGTGGAGCTGTGGCTCAAGCGGTATACAGGGCTAGTCTTCTGTACAAAGAGCTCAGGGACAGTGCCTAGGCTCAGAGTTCAAGCCCCAGAACTGGCACACATATATACAAATCCCAGAGATTGCTGGGTATTTTAGTAGATACACCTCTAATTCTAGGCACTAAGCAGGTGGCGGTTGGGAGGATTGAGTTTTGAGGCCAGGCTGGGCAAAAAGTAAAGTCCTTATCTCAACAAGCAGGCTAGGCCATGGTGGCAATTAAACTGGAATTTTAGCTGTGGCCCAGGCCAAAATATGAGACCTTACCTGAGAAATAAAGCAAAAAAAAAAAAGACTAGGGGCATGGCTCAAGTAGTAGAGTGCCTGTCTAGCAGGTATAAGGCCCTGAGTTCAAACCTTAGTGTCATCAAACAAAACAACTCCTCCTTAAAATTTATTGTCTCACGGTTTAGAAACTGTAAGTCCAAAATGAAGATGTCAGTGGGGCCATGCTTGCTTTGCGACCTATAGGAGAGATCTTTCTTTGCCTTTTCTTTGATTCTGGTGGTTCTCTGTCTCTGTCATCAAAATGCTGTCTCCTCTCAATATGTCTCTTCTCTTATTAGGACACTAATCATATTGGATGAGGGGCCTAACTTATTCTAGCATAACCTTACCTTAACTATGTCTGTAGTGACCCTATTTTCAAAGAAAGTAACTCTTGTAGGTCTGAAGTTAGAATTCCCGTGCGTGTGTGTGTGTGTGGGGGTGTGTGTGTGTGTGTGTGTATATGTATGTATGTACATACATACATACGTGTGTGCGCGCATGCGCGCATGCTACTGCTGGGGCTGGAACTCAGGGCTTGAGCTCTGTCCCTTAGTTTTTTTTGCCCAAGGCTAGCATCCCACTACTTGAGCCACAGCTCTGCTTTTGGCTTTTTGCCCATTATTTAGGGCTAAGAGTCTGTCAGGGTTGTCTTCAGGCTGGCTTTGAACCTCTATCCACAGGTCTAAGCCTCCTGAGAAGCTAGGATTACAGGCGTGAGCTACTAGCTTCCAAGCTGATCTTGAATCCCATCACTTTCCTTCTCAAAAACCTTCCATTACCATCATCTATGGATGAAGGCTAAACCCTTTGATGAGGGAGTGCCATAAACTAGCTCTATAAACTAGCTGTAATCTGCTTTTCCAGCTATACCCCCTCCTTGCCATTTAGGTATCTTTTTTTTTTTTTTGGTCAGTCATGGAGCTTGAACTCTGGGCTTGGGCGCTGTCCCTCAGCTCTTCAGCTCAAGGCAAGCGCTCTACCGCTTGAGCCACAGCGCCACTCTGGTTTTCTGGTGGTTTATTGGAGATAAGAGTCTCACGGACATTTCTGCCGGTCTGGCTTTGAACCGTGATCCTCAGATCTCAGCCTCCTGAGTAGCTAGGATTACAGGCATGAGCCACCGGCGCCCGGCTTAGGTATCTTCTTAATATTCACCTCTGGTTGCTGAGTAGCCTAAGAATAGGGAGTGAGTTATATATGTTTGCATTCCCAGTGCTTGGTTTTAGCAAGTGCATTACAATAAAGCATAATTTAAGCCAGGTACTGATTGCTTATGCCTAGCTACTCAGGAGGGTCTGAGGATTGCTGTTCAAAGCCAACGAAGCAGGAAAGTCCATGAGACTTATATCTCCAATTAACCACCAGAAAACCAGAAGTAGCACTGTGGCTCAAAGTAGTAGAGTGCTAGCCTGAGCAAAAAGAGCTCAGGGACGGTGCCCAGGCTCTGAGTTCAAGCCCTACAATATACAGAAAAATAATAAAAACAAGGCACAATTTAAGTAATGAGTGAATGAGTCTTGTTGCTTATGCTTTTTCTTCTGCCTGAGTTTCCCTGTGCCCTGGCTCTGTGCTTTGTACATTCTTACTATGCTTCATGCTGGACCCCTTCCCACAGAACAGGTTACAAGCACATCATTTCTCTCCCACTAGCCAATATACTCCTTAATACCAGGATCCAAATTTAAGTTACCTAGCCCATTTCTGGCACCCATTCATTTGGCAATTTACTGAGTACCTAGTCTGTGCTGAGGTGTATGTTGTCTGCCAGTCTTTGTGGTGAGTGAAGACAAGTAGTCTGACCACAAGAAGATCACCCACCATACAGAGCAAGATAGCTTTACAAATCAGTGGTTGTAATAAGCCAGGTGTCTATGACTCACACTTGTAATCTTAGTTGCTTAGGAGGCTGAGATCTGAGCGTTGCAGTTCAAAGCTAGTCTGGGCAGGAAAGTCTGTGAGACTCTCTTCTTTCTCTCTCTCTCTTTTTTTTTTTTGTTGGTCGTGGGCCTGGGCGCTGTCCTTTAGCTCTTCAGCTCAAGACGAGTGTTCTAACACTTGAGCCACAGTGCCACTTCCGGTTTTCTGGTGGTTAATTGGGAGATAAAAGTCTCATGGACTTTCCTGCCCAGGCTGGCTTTGAACTGTGATCCTCAGATTCTCAGCCTCCTGAGTAGCTAGGATGACAGGCATGAGCCACCGGCGCCTGGCCCTGGGAGACTCTTTATTTCCAGTTAATCACCAAATGGTGAGAAGTAGAGCTGTGGCTTAAGTGGTAGAGCACCAGCCTTGAGAGGAAAAAAGAAAAAAAAAACTAAGCAAGATTGAGGCCCTGAGTTCAAGCCTCAGAACCAGCCCATAAAAAATAGTTTTATTATTACCATCATTTGTTGGCCAAGAACACTTGGCCCTTTGTACAGGAAAATTCTGTTCTGAAGGCTTCTCCTCTACATTCTGAGATGTTTAGCTTTCTGATTCCGCCTGTAGGGCCCCACCTACCTCTACACATACCTGGATGCCTCCCACATGGAGAGATTCTACCTGTCTCCCATGGCGAAGCACCGGGAAGGGTAGGCTTGGTGAGCTCTGATGAACTGGGCCTGGGGACCAGGCATGGAGTAGAGGGGGGAAGTAGTGTGTCTGGAAGTGCCCAGTGAAAAGGCGCCAGGCAGAGAGGCATGGCTGAGAGCCGTTCTACAGCCTGCACCTCCCAGCCACTCTCACTAGCCCCAGCTAGCAGGAACGAGGAGGTGTGAAGGCAAACAGCATGCAAGCAATCTTGCACTGTTTTGGAGACTGGCAGCCCAGGTGCTAGAAGCGATGAGGTGCTAGTGGAAGCTGTAATTAGGGAGTCAAAGGGGAAGGCATGCCTGGCGCCAGTGGCTCACGCCTGTAATCCTAGCTACTCAGGAGGCTGAGATCTGAGGATCGCTGTTCAAAAACCAGTCTGGGCAGGAAAGTCCGTGAAACTCTTATCTCCAATAAACCACCAGAGAACCGGAAGTGGCGCTGTATCTCAACTGGTAGAGTGCTAGCCTTGAGCTAAAGAGCTGAGGGACAGTGCTCAGGCCCAGAGTTCAAGCCCCATGACCACCACCACCACCAACAACAAAGGTGGGGGGAAAGCAGAAAGGGCCTGAACATGGAGTAGTGTGGAGGCTGGTATCATCTGCTGGGGAGGGAACCGAACACATTTTTAGGTTATAAATAGCTTCTTCCTTACCTTGTCTCTGTGTGTGTGTGCGCATGTATGTATGTGCATGCACATGTGTGCCTCAACTGAGGCTTGCACATGGCTTTGCGCCTTTTTTTTTTTTTTTGGTTAGTTATGGGGCCTGAACTCTGGGCCTGGGCGCTGTCCCTCAGCTCTTCAGCTCAAGGCTAGTGCTCTACCACTTGAGCCACAGCGCCACTTCCAGTTTTCTGGTGGTTATTTTGGAGATAAGAGTCTCATGGACTTTCCTGCCTGGGCTGGCCTTGAACCAGGATCCTCAGATCTCAGCCTCCTGAGTAGCTCGGATTGTAGGCATACACTTAAGGTACCTGGCTCACTATTTTATTTTTATGATATGCCTCTCCTGGAAGTACAGGCTTCTAGAGGTAAACACCCCAGAACCTCCAAAGCCAATATTTAACTTAATCCATAGACTCATCACTGGACCACCCTTTCTTGGGAGCTCCTGTGTTGGGCAAAGTGGCATGGCTGTGGGCTTACAGTGGGCATGCGCACCATCTGACAGTGTTAGATTCTGTGATTGTGGTGGGAGGTCCACCTGGTGCATGTCCATCAGGGGCCCTGAGGAAGCTCAGATTCCATGTGATGGGGGTAAGTTCAGAGCTGAGGCTTCTGGAGAGCCTGTGGGTCCTATAGCCCCTCCTACTTCTTTTCACACGGTGTTGTGATTGGGTTGTGAGCAGCCTTTCTCTTTTGAGGGCTGAAAGGCTCCATGGTATCTTGCCATTCTCTAATCTTTATGCTCTCCTGGCTTAAGGCAGACCCGGTGTGAATGGCGGTGAATGAATGCACTGCGCTTTTTCTTCCCATTTTCATGCTCTCTCAAAGCAAGCATGCTCTCAGAGGTGTAATAGGTATTCCACAAGAATGCAGTTCTTATAGCTCTGTTTTCTTTCCTTTATTTTTTAGTTGCAAGATGGTGCATTTTGTCCTGTTTTGGATGCAACGTTTGTAATGGTGGCTCGTGATTGTGAAAATAAAGGGTAACTGCTGATTTTATTTTTCATAATTCTTTATTTTCAAGAATTTCAAAGAAAAGACTACAGTGAATTTCCATATACCCATTTCTTGGACGTCAGTAGCTTTAATTGCAATTTTTTTTTTGTAAATTTATCTGTTTTTCTTCAACAAAAACACATAAATCAAACACTGGTAACTCACACCTATAATTATGGCTACTCAGGCTAAAATCTGAGGATTGCAGTTGGAAGCCAGCCGAGGCAGACAAATCCAGGAGATTCTTATCTCAAGTTAACCAGCAAAAAGCTAGAATGGGAGGTATGGCTCAAGTGGTAGAGTGCCTGCTATAAACAAAAAGTATGAAGCTCTGAGTTCAATCCACCAGTACTGCTTTCCCTCAAAAAGAAAATGTATGATATTTTTTGTCCGTCATGGGGGTGCTGTCCCTCAGTTCTTCAGCTCAAGGCGAGAGCTCTACCCCTTGAGCTATAGCGCCACTTCCAGTTTTCTGGTGTTTTTTTGGAGATAAGAGTCTCACAGAGAGCTATTGCCTTGAGCTGAAGAGCTCAGGGACAGTGCCCAGTCCCAGAGTTCAAGCCCTACGACCAACTCAGACATGGACACAGACACACACCCACACAAACCATGGGGCTGGGAAGGTGGCTCAGTGGTAGAGCACTTGCCTTGTATGCATGAAGCCCTGGGTTCAATTCCTCAGCACCACATGAGCAGAAAAAGCAGAAGTGGCGTTGTGGCTTTAGTGGTAGAGCACTAGCCTTGAGCTGAAGAGCTGAGGGACAGTGCCCAGGCCTAGAGTTCAGGCCCCATGACAGACCAAAAAAATAGTCTCACGGTCTTTCTAGCCTGGGCTGGCTTTGAACCGCATTCCTCAGATCTCAACCTCCTGAGTAGCTAGGATTACAGGCGTGAGCCACTGGCGCCTTGCTGTATAATATTTTAAAACAAATCTCAGGTACAATATTTTACTTCCACATAATGTAGACAACCTTTTAAAAAGGAGCTTTTTCATTTATGTGTTAGCACATTCATATTAATGGGGTTCATTGTAGTGTTTCCACACAGTTACACAGCAGCATGCATCAAATCCATCAACACATTGGCAGCCTCTAGTAATAACCATTTTACCTTCAGGTCAACTTTATTGGTTGTTGTTGTTCCTGAGGCTTGAACTCTGGGCCTGGGCGCTGTCCCTGAGATCTTCAGTCAAGGCTAGTGCTCTACCGCTTGAGCCACAGCACCACTTCTGGTTTTCTGAGTGGTTTATTGGAGATAAGAGTGTCACGGACTTTCCTGCCCAGGCTGGCTTTGAACTGTAATCCTCAGATCTCAGCCTCCTGGGTAGCTAGGATTACAAGCATGAGCCACCGGTGCCTGGCTCAGGTCAACTTAAAAAAAATCATATATGGAAGCTCTATTTCTGTGTTTGGCTTATTTCACTTAGTGTAATGCCCCTCTAGTTCTATCCATTTTACTGCACTTGATTGTATTTCTGCATGTGTGCGTGTGTGTGCGTGCACGCATGCGTGTATGCATGTATGTGTGTATCAGTTCTGAGGCTTTCGTGTGTCAGTTCTGAGGCTTGAACTCAGGGCCTAGTATTCATTTTTCCCTTTATTGTTTATAACTGGCACTTTGCAACTTGAGCCTGCAGCTCTACCAGATTTTTGCAGTTTTAATTGGAGATGAGTCTCCTGTATTTGTCCTGGGCTGCCTATGAACTGCAGTCATCAGATCTCAGCCCCTTGTGTAGCCAGGATTATAGGCATGAACCACTGGCGCTTAGCTGCTCTGCCTTTTTTTTTTTTTTTTCTGTCGGTCGTGGGGGTTGAACACTGTCCTAAGCCTGGGTGCGGTCCCTCAGCTCTTCAGCTCAAGGCTAGCACCCTACAACTTGAGCCACAGCACCACTTCCAGCTTTTTTCTGCTTATGTGGTGCTGAAGAATTGAACCCACAGCTTCATGCATGCGAGGCAAGCACTCTACCACTGAGCCACCTTCCCAGCCCTATTTTTGAGATAGAATTTTGCTTCTTGCCCAAGTATGCTTTTGGACCACAATGCAACCTATTGTAGGCTTCCCATCATAGCTGGATGACAGGAACATGTTACCACACCAAGTTTCTTTTACTGAGATGGAGTCATGCAGAATTTTTGGTCTGGCCTGTCCTGGAGCGTCAATTCTTCTGCATTCAGCTAGTGATTAAGATGGTATCTTGTGCTGAGCACCTGTGGCTCAATGCCTGTAAGAGGGTGTGAGATCCGAGGTTCAAAGTCAGCCCGGGCAGGAAAGTCCATGAGACTTATCTCCAATCAACCACTCAGAAAACCGGAAATGGCCCTGTGGCTCAAGTGGTAGAGCACGAGCCTTGAGCTGAAGAGCTCAGGGACAGTGCCCAGGCCTAGAGTTCAAGCCCCATGACTGACAAAAAAAAAAGTTATCTTGTGTGAACTTTTCAGCCTGGCTGGCCTCTAACTCGATCTTCCTGATCTGGACCTCTTAGGTAGCTATGATTACAGCAGTGAGCTACAGGCATCTAGCTTCAAGTATACAAATTATGCTTGATTTTATGTCTTCTGTGTATGTGTGTGGGGGGGTACTGGGACTTGAATTCAGGACCTCATGCTCTTGCTTGGCTTCGTTGCTCAAAACTGGTGCTCTAGCACTTGAGCCATGGTTCCACTTCATTTTTTTCTGTAACAGTTTTAGTAAAGGCACCATTTGTATGTCACACAGTTGAGTCATTGAAAGTGTACAGTGTGAAAGAGTACAATCTTAGTGTTGTTCATGTGTTCACAGAGCCGTACAATCTGTCTAATGTGTTGTAATCCAGCATCATTGTGTGTCCCCACTACTGTCTTAGACTTCGTATCACCAACTTGTTTAAGGTTGCATTGTTCCAACTTACTCATGGTACTTTTTCTTTCTTTCTCTCTCTCTCTTTTTAATGTGCCAGTACCGGAGCTTGAACTTAAGCCCTGGGCACTGTCCCTGAGCTCTTTTGTTCAAGGCTACTGCTCTACCACTTGAACCACAGCTCTATCACCACCTCCTTCCCCCTCCTTCCCTCTACTACCCCCTCTTCCCCTCTCCTCCCCTCTCCTCCCCCCTCATCCCCTCCTCCTCCTCCTCCCTTCTTTCTTTTCCTTTTTTCTTCTTTTTCATAGACTTTCTTGCCTGGGTTGGCTTTGAGCTTCAACCCTCAGATCTCAGCCTCCGCAGTAGGTAGGTTGTAGGTATGAGCCACTGGCAGCTGGCTTTGCCTTTTGTTCTTGGATGGCCCACTCTCCCTAATAGTGAATAAATGCTGATGGAAGTTGGATCTCCAGCCCTGTGTGGGTTTGATTAAGCACAGGGCTGATCGGCACAGGGTCACTGTGTTCCTCATGCTGTATCAGGTGCATTTCAGGGCGCACATTTTGTCTCTGTGGTGATGCTATGATCCATGTACCTATTCAAACAGTGAATTATTATTTTTGTCACTCATGGGGTTTGAACCCTGGGCTTGGACGTTATCCCTCAGCTCTTCAGCTCAAGGCAAGTGCTCTACCCCTTGAGCCACAGGGCCATTTCTGGTTTTCTAGTGGTTTATTGGAGATAAGAGTCTCATGGACTTTCCTGCCCGGGCTGGCTTTGAACAGTGATCCTCAGATCTCAGCCTCCAGAGTAGCTATTATTGTTTAAAAAAAATTCAAGTAGTTGTACAAAAGAGTTGCCATTCAACAAAAGCAGCTTATGAAAACAATGCATTTTGGTCAGTGTTGCCTCTTTAAACATTCCTACCCCTCCCTCCCAACTCCCCCTTCCCTTCACTTTTCTCAAAAAAAATATGGACCACTTCACAAATTGGTGTGTCATCCTTGCTCAGGGGCTGTGCTAATCGTCAAACCAATTTTAGTATCTGTGCTGCTAAAGCGAGCACTCAAGCAATACATTCTTGGTTCCAGCAACATTTATGCCCAAAGGCATCCAACCTGAGAAAAGTGTGTACTTGGTGTAGGAAGGGATGTTACTCGATTGTTCTTTGTGTGGGACAGTCTGGCAGCCCATGGAAAGTCTTATGTGTCCTAGAAGCTTGATTTAGGAATCATCAACGAGGAATTTTTTTATGTAAAAATCTTCAGTTCCCTAATGTCACACATGGTGTGGCACTAAGGAGGCTTAGGCAAGAGCATTTCCAGCTTGAGACCAGTCTGGGTTACCTAATGAGACCCTATCTCACAGGAAGAAAAAAGAAACATTTAAGCCAGCACCAGCCAGCACAGTAGGATGACAGATGCCTGTCATCCTAGCCATGTGTGAGGTTAATGTCAGCAGGGTTGTGGTTCCAGCCTGGGAAAGAAATGCCTGGGAAGAAGTTGGGCCTGATGGAAGCCGAAACTAGATTGGTCATGATCCAAATGAAGGCACAGGGAAGGAATTGCCATTCTATCTCAAAAGTAACCAGAGCAAATAATGATTGGCAGTGTGGTTCAGCAGTAGAGTGCATGCTTAGCAAGCATGAGGCCAGTACTGTTCCTGCCCCCAGTTTCAAAAAGAACAGGAGGAAAATACCTTGACTAATTTGGATCTGAGGAAGGACTAATGCCCAGCTATTCCTGCTGCTCCTAGAAGCTGCTTTTCTTTCTTCCTTTTTTCTTTTTGTCAGTCTTGGGGCTTGAACTCAGGGCCTGAACATTGTCCCTGGGCTTTTGCTCAAGGCTAGCACTCTACCAGTTGAGCTACAGTGCCACTTCCGACTTTCTCTGTGTATGTGGTACTGAGGAATCAAATCCAGGGCTTCATCCATACTAGGTAAGCACTCTACCACTAAGCCACATTCCCAGCCAACAAGCTGCTTTTCAAACACTGATGGCATTGCTTCAAGTTGTTCTCAGAGAATGCCTTCTAACTTTCTAAACTCTATTTTAATCCTTTCCTACCCACTTGTGCTTCTATAAGTTAGTGGATTCTATCACAGGAAAGAAACTAGCTGTTTTCCTAAGTTTTTATTTTGGAGAGTAGGAAGAATGCAACAAACTCCTATATGGCCTGCACCTAAGTTCACAGTTAGCAGGAAACCACATTTGCCTTACTCTTTGGCATTCTGTAAATATGGGCTTGAAGTCAGGCCTAGGCACTTTTCATTCAAGGTTGGTGCTCTGTCACTTGAGCCACAACTCCATTTCAGGCTTTTTGCTGGTTAATTGGAGATAAGAATCTCTCAGACTTCTCCTGCCTAGGCTGGCTTTGAACCATGATCCTCAGATCTCAGCCTCCTGAGTAGCTAGGATTACAGGCGTGAGCCACTGGTTCCTGTGCTTGCTATGTTTTTTTGTTGTTTTTTTTTGAATTTTCTGAATGGAAATCTGGGATGGTTTTACCTGTCAGTGGTTTAGCCTGTATCTCCTGAGAATAGACAACTCTCCTATATAACCTTCATGTCCTTATATTATATCTAAGAAATGTAGCTAGGCACTGGTGGCTTATCCCCATAATTCTAGCTACTCAGGAGGCTGAGATCTGGGGATCGCGGTTTGAAGACAGCCCAGGCAAGAAAGTCTGTAGGACCCATCTCCAATTAACCACCTAAAAACTGGAAATGAAGCTGTGGCTCAAAGTGGTGGAGCATTAGCTTTGAGCAATAAAGCTCAGGGACAGTTCCCAGGCCCTGAGTTCAAGCCCTAGGACTGGCAAAAAAAAAAAAAAAAGGAAAAAGAAACTTAATGGTAAAGCCATGATCTATTATATCATCCATATTCAGATTTCTCAACTTATTCCTAAAATATCCTTTATACCGTTTTCTCTAGATTTAGGATCTGATGAATAATCATATATTGCATCTGATTACTGTGTTGATGTAGGGAAGGCCCCAACCATTTTCTTTTTCCGGGGCTGGTAATGGGGACTGAACTCAGGGCCTTTGGTTCTAATTTTTTGGTTTAAGGCTGGTGCTCTAACATTTGAGTCACACCTCTACTTCCAGTTTTTTGCTACATAATTGGAAATGGAATTTCTTGGATTTGTCTGCTCAGGCTGGGTTTGCACCATGAGTCCCAGAGGATTATAGATGTTAGTCACCGATGCCTGGACCATTTTCTGTCTTTTAAGACATTGGCATTTACTTTTGGTGGTATTGCAGTTTGAAGTCAGGAACTGTGCTTGCTAACCAAGTCCCCTACCACTGAAGCCACTCGCAGTCCCTTTTTGCATTGGTAATTTTCAAGATAGCTTCTCCGTTTATACCCAGGCTGTCTTGGAATGGCAGGTATGTACCACTGCACCCAGGCATTGGTTAATGCAGAGTCTTTGTGGAACTTTTTTTTTTTTTTTTTTTTTGTCGGTCATGGGGCTTGAACTCTGGGCCTGGGCGCTGTCCCTCAGCTCTTCAGCTCAAGGCAAGCACTCTACCACTTGAGCTACAGCGCCACTTCTGGTTTTCTGGTGGTTTATTGGAGATAGGAGTCTCACGGTCTTTCCTGCCCGGGCTGGCTTTGAATTGCGATCCTCAGATCTCAGCCTCCTGAGTAGCTAAGATTACAGGTGTGAGCCACCAGCGCCCAGCTTCTTTGTGGAACTTTTATGCTCAGGCCTGCCTTATATTGGGATCACTTGATCTCTGCCTCCAAGTAGGTTTGAAGCACTGTGCCCAGCAACATTGATATAGTTTTGTATGTTTGTCTTGGTGCTTGAACTCAAGGCCTAGGTACTGTATGTACTCTGAGCATTTTCTGCTCAGAGCTAGCATTTTGGTACTTAATGGGAGATAAGAGTTTACAAACTTTCCTGACCAGGGTGTCTTTGAACCAACATCCTCAGATCTCAGCCTCCTCAGACACTGACATTTTTGAGACTCCTTCAAAATGTTCCATAGCCCATATCTGACTGTTTCCTACAATGAGAATCAAGTTAAAATATTGGGCAAATGCCAGGATCCTTTTTATAATGTGCACTTTCTAGTGTTCTATAACAAGAAGGCTTCCTTAATTATTTCAGTGTTCATATGTAATCAGTTAGCTTTACCTAAAATAAATAGCAAAACTGGTGGGCAGCAGGGTGCCAGTGGCTCACGCCTACAATCCTAGCTACTCAGGACGCTGAGATCTGAGGATCATGGTTCAAAGGCAGTCTGGACAGAAGAGTCCCTGTGAGGCCCTGACTTCAAGCTCCATGACTGCAAAAACAACCCCCCCCCACCAAAAAACTAGTAGGTAGTTAGCATTCTTTGTTCTTGGTCATGGGGCTTGAACTCAGGGCCTGGGTGCTGTCCCTGAACTCTTTCTGCTCAAGGCTTACACTCTACCTCTTGGAGCCACAGCACCACTTCAATTTTCTGGTGGTTAATTGGAAATAAGAGTCTCACAGACTTTCCTGCCTGAGCTCACTTTGAACTATGATCCTCAGATCTCAGCCTCTTGAGTACTAGGATTACAGGTGTGAGCCACCGGCACTTGCTTTCAAATAGCATTTTTTGATGAAGAAGGTCACTGTATAGTTGAGGGTGACCTTGAACTCAATGTGTAGCCCTGGCAAGCCTGAGCTCGGGCTCTGGCTGCCTTAGTGTCCCTATTGCTGCGATGACATTTGTGTCTCATCACGCCGGGTTTAGATGATATGTCTTAAGCTGAATTGTTTTCTTTTTCTTTTCTTTTTTTTTTTTTAGACCAGCATTTGTGAATCCACTCATCCTTGATAACCCAGAAGAGGAAGAGATCTTTAAACAAGGAGAATGTATATTAACTTGTTTATATTAATTAAATTGACCAGGCATATATTTATACTGTAGAAGAGATCATTTAAGATTTTATGTAGACTTTATGTCAAGTGTCTTATGCTAAGAATTTATTGAAATTAAAAAATACTGTATTTTTAGAACCTTGGAGTATATATTTTGAATGACTTCATTGATCAGACAGCATTCATTAAATGAAGTAGTTTCTCTCTCTCTTTTTTTGTACCAATACTGAGGCTAGAACTAAGGTTTTGGGCCTTCCCTCAGTTTTCTTTCTCGAAATTGAGAAGAAAAAAAAAAACCAGCCATACTTCCGGTTCTAGTTTTTTGGTGGCTAGTTGTAGAAAAGGGTCTCTACGACTTTGCTGCCTGGGCTGTCTTAGATCATTGATCCTCAGATCTCAGCCTCCTGAGTAGCTAAGTTTACAAGACCCACCAGCACACAGCTTGTTTTATCTTTTGAGTATGTGTGTGTGCATAGGTGTGTGCTAATCCTGAGGCTTGGATTTAGGCCTAGGTTGTGTCGTTAAGCACTAGCACTAGACTAGCTCAAGGCTAGTGCCTTACCACTTGAGCCACAAATCCACTTCTTTTTTTTTTTTGTAGTTAATTGGAGATAAGAGTTTCACAGATTATGGGCTGGGAAGGTAGCTCAGTGGTAGAGTGCTTGCCTTGCATGCGTGAGGCCCTGGGTTCGATTCATCAGCACCATATAAGCGGACAAAGCCTTAAGTGGCACTGTGGCTCAAGTGGTAGAGCGCTAGCCTTGAGCTGAAGAGGTTAGGGACAGCGCCCAGGCCCAGAGTTCAGGCCCCACAACCAACAACAACAACAAAAGTTTCACAGACTTTTCTGCTGGGACTGGATTCGAACCTTAATCCTTAAATCTCAGCCTCCTGAGTAGCGAAAGTACAGGAGTGAGCCACAGGCACTGGGCTGTTTTCTTGTTTTTAGTGAAATGGGAAATGAATCGGAATGGTTAGGCTGTTGGTCAGGGCTCTTAGATCAGGATAAAAGCCAGTGTTCACACACTAAACTGAATAATTTATACCTGAAAAAAGAAACTCAGTGGAGAAAGGCTTGAACTCAGGGTCTGGAGCTTGCCAGGCTTCTGGACTGAGCTACCATCAGTCTTGAATTTGAAATTTAATGTGGCTTCTGCAGCCTTCTCTTAGATCTATAACTAAGTAGCAGTGGGTGTTAAAATTCAGAAATACTGAGTTGTGTAGGTTGTAAAGCACTGCAGGTCAGGCCCTGTAGGGGGCTTGTGGCTTGTGGCTTTCGGGATCCTCATTTCTCATTCTCTCATGGGCCAGTGAACAAGGGGAGAAGGATCTCCATGAGCTCCATTTCTTTACTGAAAATGGCTCCTGACGCTGATGAGCGGAATACCATACACGACATGTTTCTCAGCACGCTGGATCCCAAGTAAGTGAGGATGGTGAGGATGGACAGTTGGAAGAGGATTGGCATGCCCACCTGCCTGAGTATATTGGGAGTCGTTTGCAAATGTTTTCCTTCTCAACGCAGAAAATATACTGTTAACAGCGTTTAATTCACCTCCACTGTACAGGACTATAAGCTTTCAGAGTCGCATTTTGCCCCCTAATGCAGTGTGGATGGAGGATACAAAATTGAAGAGCTTGGACATTTGTCACCCTCAGGTAATTAGGAATTGGTGGGGAATTTTTTGAATAGGCCAGCTCATATTCATATTTGTCTTGATGCACTGCACCAACTAACCTTTTTTCTATGGTATCATTAATTCCTTTATTTTGTATTCCGTAGCAGTTGTAAGTTGGTATATATTAATACTTTTTATATCTGTAGGAGCGGAACATTTTCAATCGGATCTTTGGTGGTTTTATTATGAGGAAAGCATATGAGCTAGCATGGGCTACTGCTTGTAGCTTTGGGTGAGTGAGATTTAAGGCAGTACTAATTTCTAAGAAGCAATTTATATCATTCCACTGATATTTGGAGCCAGCTTTGTGCTTGGTTGTGTTTAGAAATAATGTTATCTGTGTATCTATGGATTTCTGTGTCTATATCTTCGTTTCATCCATCCCATCCATCTAATCCATTCACTTATCCATCTAGGGGCCTTATGCGTTTTAGGTAGCCCTCTACCTCTGAGCTACATCCCCACTCTAGGAACATATTATTTTTTAAGTAAGTGATATACTCATACAAGTTGGGCTTGACTTTCATTCTTGACTACTGTTGCCCTGACTTTATAAGGTAGTACACGAAAGACCTACTGAGGTCTTAGCATGGTGGCACATACCTATAATCCCAGATACTTGGGAGTAGAGATTGGATGATATGATTCCAAGGCCAGCCCAGGCATAAAGTTAGTGTGGCCCACCTCCCCCAACAGTGCAACCTACAAGTGGGCATGTTGCACATGCCGTGGTCCCAGTTGCTGGAAGACAGAGAAGGATCACAGTCTAAGACTGGCACCAGGCAGAAAGTACAAGACTCTATCCAGAGTAACTGAAGTGAAAAAAGACGGGGGGGCTGATATGCGGATAAAGTAATAGCACACTTGCCTAGAATGCACAAGGCTCTGAGTCTAAAGCCCAGTGCACCCCCTCCTTCAGAAAACCCTACTGAGAGCAATCGCTGATACTATATATAAAGGGGGGAGAGCGTGACTCGGGGCCTTCTGTGGTCACAGCAGCATTGCTTACATTGTCACTGATGTGATGCTTTGATTTTTGCCAGTCCCGGGGCTTGAACTCAGGGCCTGGGCCCTGTCTTTGAGCTTCTTCTGCTCAAGACTAGCACTCTACCACTTGAGCCGCAGCGCCACTTCTGGCTTTTTCTGTGTATGTGGTACTGAGGAATGGAACCCAGGGCTTCATGCATGCTAGGCAAGCACTCTACCACTAAGCCACATTCCCAGCTCCTGATGTGATCTTCCCTCCCTCCCTCCCTCCCTCCCCTCCCCTCTCTCTCTCTCCTCTCTCCTTTCTCCCCCCTGTCTCTCTCCCTCTCTCCTCTCTCTCTCCCTCTCCCCCTCTCGTGTCCTGGGGCTTGAACTCAGGGCCTTGAACACTATTAGCTTTTCTGCTCAAGGCTGACACTACCGACTAAAGCCACACCTCTACTTCCAGCTTTTTACTGACTAAGTGGAGCTAACGATCTCTTGGATTTATCTGCTCAGGCTGGCTTTGAGCCAGGATCCTCAGATCTCAGCCGCCTGGGTATCTAGGAAGGATTACATGCGTGGGCCCTTGGCACCCTGTCATTTCTTCCTTCGCTAATTTCTTTTTTTTTTTTGGGGGGGGGGTGTCATTTACTTTTGCTTAAGCTGTTTGTTAGGGAGAAAAGTTTGAAATTATCCGAATTTTGCATCACTTAAAATTTTTCCTTCTCCAACAGAGGTTCTAGACCATTTGTGGTGACAGTAGATGACATCATGTTCCAGAAACCTGTGGAAGTGGGCTCGCTGCTCTTTCTTTCCTCTCAGGTGAGTGTGTGCTGAGAAATGGCATTTGCTTATCTTTTGGGCTTAGAAGAGAGCTGCTTGCGTTCTAAAGCCACTATTTTGACTTATAGCTCTTTTTCCCTTCCTTACTGCAATCGATTAGGTCTGCTTTACTCAGAACAATTATATTCAAGTCCGAGTGCATAGTGAAGTGGCCTCTCTTCACAATAAAGAACACATGACCACCAACGTCTTTCACTTTACATTCATATCACAAAATGAGGTGCCCTTGGTTTTCCCCAGAACATACGGAGGTAAGCAGTGGTTATTGCTTCTCCCTAATGTAAAGAAGACATTTTTTTTGTAGTATGCATGATGGGACCCAGTGCCTCATGCATACGTAGACATACACTCTATGACTGAGCTATATACCCAACCCTCTTTTAAATTGTTATAGCAAGTGCATCCATTTTAGAGCATGAATTTAGATTTGCTTTCGCACTATTGCAGCCTTGAAGGCTCATGAGGTCATGTGACCTCAGTTGACTGTCCCTGCTCTGCTCAGCCAGCTGTGGCAGGAAAGGCTCCAGCTCCAAGCAACCAGGGGTGGTGGAGGACTAGGCCTGCTGAAGGAAAAGGATGGGAATCCAGGCTTGCTTGCTCCGCAAGGCCCCCAGCCCAGCCTTGTGTTCCCATTGCTGGGTTTTCGTGTTCATTGCTGCCCCAATGGTCCCAAATAGTTTCTAGTTTGAATGATTATCTAAGGTGCTTCCATTGTCTCTAGGGTTGTCTTTCTTGTGTTTCAGAGTCCATGTTGTATTTAGATGGGCAGCGGCATTTCCTCTCCATGAGTGCCCCAGTGAAAAAGGACTACCTCGTGGAGCCCTAGGAACACCTTACCTGTTATACACCAGCACTCCATTGGCAATGACCTCTAATGCCTGCTGAAGGCCTGAGCAAGTTGTGTTGCTTTTAGCATCCTCCATAGAGGAGAAGGTATCAGTGGGTAGGATGACCAGAAAGGCAGAAAAGAGAGTGACTGGATGGGCTGAGGTGTGGATGAGCAATTAAATAAATAACTTCCAAACTAGATTAATTGTGAACCTCCTGTGTTGACTCCCCCCCCCCCCACTGCATCTGCTAAGAAATGAGGGGGAACAGCTCTTCATACAGACATATTTTTGTCTTATTTTGCAGATGTCAGTATACAGAGTTTCTGGTCAGGGCATTTGGTTGCCTTTTTTGTAGTTCTGGGGATTGAACTGAGGGCCTTGTAAACATTTAGGTTATGCCTCCCAGAACCCCCTTTTTGATTCTTTGGTTTTGAGTCATAAGTAGCTAACTTTCCCTGGCCAGCCCTCAGATTTTAGAACATCTTGCCTCTGCCTCCTGAGTAATTGGGATTACAGGCATGAACCACCAGCACCCAGCTCTAGGATGATGCACACCTACAACATGTTGTATCTATTTTAGGCTTCCAGCCATAGGTGGAATGACAGGTACAAACTACCACACCCGGCTCCTTCTACTGAGATGTCTCACGGATTTTCTGCCTTGGCTGGCCTGGAACTGCTCACATCAGCTTCCCATGTAGCTAGAATGATATAGGCACATACCACCACACCCAAGTATTAGTGGAAAAGGGTTCTTGGACCACTGACTGATTCTCCACATATCAGTCTCCCAAGTAGATAGGATTAGAGGTGTGAGCTACTAGCATCCGGGTGTGGCTTTAATTTTTAATATTTTTTAAACAATTTAAGATGATGAAATAGCACAATAATGTACAATTGGCTTCTGGAGTATTAGTATTCTGTCCCTTTCCATTAAAGAATAGATGAGAACTCTGTTGTTTTTAATGATTTTAATTTCAGATTCTCCACCTCTGTACAGCTTCTGTATTCTCTAAAAATGAACATTTTCATCCTTTAATACCAAAATAAGAAAAAAAGTAGCAGTATATTCTGATAGTGAACATAAAACTTGATAGTTTCTAACAGAAAGGCGTCTATTTATCTTGCTGGGTGCCAGTCTCACACCTCTAATCCTAGCTCCTCAGCAGGCTGAGATCTGAGGATGGCAGTTTGAAGCCAGCCCAGGCAGGAACGTCTGTGAGACTGTTATCTCCAGTTAACCACCAGAACAACAGAAGTGGCGCTGTGGCTTAAAGGCATAGAGAACTAGCTTTGAGTGACAAAGTTCAGGGACAGCATCCAGGTCCTGAGCTCAAGCCTGACCACCACCAAAAAAAAAAAAAGAAAAAGAAAAACCAGAAAAAGAAAAAAACGTTAAAACCAATTTTAGTGCTCTCTTCGGCAGCACATATACTAAAAATTGGAATGATACAGAGAAGATTACATAGGCAATGCGAAAGGATGACACGCAAATTTGTGAAGCATTCCATAAATAAAACAATTTTAGTCAGGAAGTCTCCCCAGTTAAATAAATCCTATATATACTTCAGTATAAGCTGTTTTTATCTTCGTGAATGTTTAATTAGACAGCTTTTAATTTAAGGACTACTGCAATATTAATCCTAAAACATAAAGTGAAATTTGAAAAATAAGACAGTTCTTTTTGTTTGATAAGTTTGTGCTTAGACTTCATATCTCCCCAGTTATTAATGAGAGGACAATTACCTTTATCAAGAAAGGGCAAACCAAAATTTGACTTGGCATCAGAGTAGGAAGGCTTGCCTAGCATATGCAGAAGCTCTGGGTTTGGATCTTTGCTCCACTGAATATGTAGCATCAGCATTGTCTCCAAAATTACCTGCTCAGTATTGATATTGATGCCATTATGTTCACAATGATGAACAATTTCAGCGGCAAAATTCAAGCAAAAAAGCCTTAATGACACTAAAACTTTGACAAATGCAAGCTACAATTAGATCCAGGACCTTTTATCTTATTTTTTTCAATTAAGTTTCACAAAATAAGACACTGCCTTCTAATTTCACTTTCCAGGCAAGACAGGGAAAAACCAAAGTCTGTCTGCCTCTCTGTCTATGTGTCTATGTATCTATGTATTTTTTCTAATCTATGTATGTTTTATGTCTATCATTTCTATAATCTATCATCTATGCATCTATCCTGTAAATATATTTTATGTCTTATCATTTCTACCATTTTTATCATCTGTCTATCATCTAAGGATCATCTATCTATGTATGCATCTCTCTAATCTGTCTTTCATCCCTTGAGACAGGGTCTCACTGTGTAGTCTGGACTGGCTTGGGACTCGACTCCTTTTGCCTCTTATTCTACAATCCTAGGATTACAGGCATGTACCATCAAGCCCAGTTCCCGTATATTTGTCTATATACAGAAGTCATTGCCAATATAAATATTACAATGAAGTAAATGTGGTTGTTTTGGGTTCCTTAATATAAGATAATGTGACATAACTCTCCTATAGTATATTGTGCTTTGAAAATATTATTAGTGGCGATGGGCATCTAACATACAGCTTGGTGCATGCACGTCCACTTAAGACATGAACAACTAATTCATGACCTAGGGAGCAGGAGACCCCTTAAGAAGTTCTCCAATACATTTTTCAATTTATTTCAACTATCAGACTTAGTTCATTCAACCCAGCAACTCACAGAACAGCAAAAACAACTGTTAATATTAGAAAGGAGCACACATATATTCTTTTGTGGACTCATACTGCTCTTTAAAGACGATTACATTTAGCTCTGTGTGGTGGGGTGCTCCTCCCCCCCCCACACACACACACAAAGGCTTGGCAACAATGGCTCATGCCTGTAGTCCTAGCTACGCAGGAGTCTCAGATGTAAGAATCCAGGATTGTAGGTAGCCAGGGTTGGAAGTTCCATGACAGTCTTCTCTCTTGCCATCAAAATGATGAAAGTGGAGTAAGGACTCTACTAGTAGGCAGTGGCCTTGAGCCAAAAAGCTCAGAGACAGAGCTTAGAGCCTGGGTTGAAGTCTCAGGTTCAACACATTCACACTCCAAAACCGCCCAAACCATCCTCCTCAACAAACCCCAGCAACCGCTTCAAAATAGATAAGTATATCTACCGGCCATGGCAATTTTCTAAACATTTCAGGATGCATGTTTAAAGATTTGTCTCGAATTGAACAGACAGCTTCACCAGTGGGTTGTAAAGCACACAGTAGCCATCCGTCCCTTTGCGTTCCTCTGAAAGACTTGGCAAATACTCTTGTATGAACTAGGAAGCGATACCTAAAGGGACATTTTTAGGATATTAATTGTGTATCGAGGCTTCCACGGGATCTGACATGAGAGTTGATGATGTTCGCCTCTCAAATGCTACCAGTTTACGTCTTAAAAGGTTGCCCTCTTGGCCTTTCTCAGCACCATTCTCTCACCGTCGGGAGGAGAGAACTTGGCTGGCAGCAGGTACTCATCCCTGACCGTTTGTAATAACTTCATTTCGCGATCCAGCTGCTTCTGAAGTTGTAAGGCGAACACCCCGTCCGGTCCTTGCTGTCCCTGTGGGTCGCTGTTGCTGTGGTTGCTGTTTCTGTTCTGAAGCTGGCTGCTTTGGCGTGACCGTGGTGATGGTGATGGTTACCTGTGGGTCTCGTGCAGTTTGGGGAGTGATGTCACTCCCCGGCTGGCTGCTGGGCATGGAGGCCTCACTGCGCTTGCGCGCGGGTCGCCCTCATGCTCAGTGCGGGTCACACTGGCGCTCAGCTGTGGCGCTGGCAGCTTTTGGCGCCCTGGCTGGCCTGGCGGGCCCGCTCCCTTCCTTGCCGGGACGCACAGTGGCCTCTAGGCCAGAGCCGAGAACCCGGGGTTCGAGTCTAGTCAACAGGACACGTAGTTGTTTGCGCAAGGCATTTGGTGCGCCTTGACCTCGGCCTTGAGGGCGCAATGGCGCGGGGCCTGCGGGAGCCCCTGCCCCAGGTGGCTGTGGCCTTGGTTTTTGCAGCTCGGGATGGAGGTGCGGAGTCTGCGAGTTCGGTTCCCGTGTCGAGGCGGCTTGCCCCTCGGGGCCGGGTGGAGGCGGCCGCGGGCTGGGCTCGAGCGAGGGAGGCAGCGCCTCCTTGGGCGGCTTTTCCACGTGGGCTTTTACTTTGGTCTTGTGTTTCTTGGCCCCGGGCCCCACTTTTCTAGAATGTTCCTGGGAGGTGGAAGCGGCTCCCCCAGGGCGGGGCTGCCTCAGTTTTTGGCGCATGTCCCGCCGCAGCTGGTCCTCCTCCTCCCGCTCGCGCGCCAGCAGCTTGTGGATGTAGTCGAGGCTCGCCCGGCTCTCCTCCTCCTGCCTGGCCCGCCGCTCGGCCTCCATCTTGCGCACCTCCTGCTCGTACTCCCGCCGCAGCTCCCCGGGCGCGCTTATCACGCGCACCGGCTGACTGCCGCCCGCGGCGCCCGCCGCCCCGTCGCTGCTGACGTGCCCCGACAGCCTGTCGCGGCACTCGCGCGGGTAGTGCGTCTGGATCTCCTCCCACAGCTCCGCGTTGACCAGCGCGCCCCTGCGCCTGTGGTGTCGCGCCCACGACGAGATCCAGGCGCGGCAGAAGGGACACCTCAAGCTCGCCTTCTCCACCGACGCCTGGAAGCACGGCTTGCACAGCGTGTGCCGGCACGGCAGCGTCACGGGCTCCACCAGGATCTCCAGGCAGATCTGGCACTGGAAGTCCGCCAGGGACGGGGTCACCACATCACGTTGCGCCATGTCGAGTCCCGTCGTTTGAGGGGGGGGGGACGCTGGTCAGGCTGAGGCCCTGCCAAGGGGGAGGTCGAGGCCCGGTGGAGGCCTTGCGCCGGCTGAGGCGCTGCTGTGGTGCAGCCGGGGCGCTGCCTACCACAGAAAAGGAGCGCGGGAAGCAGGCTCACGCACTTCCGCTGGGGTGTCAGGTGACCCCCCCCCCCCACTGTGGCCTCAACACTCCTGGTCGCTCTTCACTTCCGTTCCCCCCCCCCCCCCCCCAGCATTGACACCTGCACTCGTGGAGGAAAGTGGATTTTGAGTTGAGGCTGGGAAGGTGGCTCAGTGGTAGAGTGCTTGCCTCACATGCATGAGGCCCTGGGTTCCATTCCTCAGCACCCCAGAAGCAGAAAAAGCCGGAAGTGGCGCTGTGGCTCCAGTGGTAAAGAGCTAGTCTTGAGCAAACCAGGCTCAGGACAGTGTTGACACTCTTGAGTTCAAGCCCCAGGACTGGCAAAAATAAAAGCTAATGGAGGAACTTGGGCTCACAGTAATATTTGTGAGTATTAGCAACGCGGAGGTTCCTTGGTGTGTGTGTGAAGTTACGGGTGTTTGAACTCAAGAACTGTTTCTTAGCTTTTGCTCAGGGTCAGAGCTGGGTGGTCGAGGCGGGGTCAAGGCCCCGCTGCGGCGCACGTACTGAGACTGGAAGCCGGGATGCGGGCTCAAGGGCACGTTCTGTGCGGTGTAGTGTTGCCCTTTTGACCCCAGACTCAGGGCGTCTTAACATTCCAGAATTTCCTTCACTCCCTGCTTGCACTCCACCTCCTTTCTTTGCTGGCGTTTATGCCTGTGATTTGGGAGGAAAGTGAAAACTGTTTTTTTTGGTCGGTCGTGGGGCTTGAACTCTGGGCCTGGGTGTTGCCCCTCAGCTCTTCAGCTCATAGGCCAGCGCTCTACCACTTGAGCCACAGCGCCATTTCTAGCTTTTTCTGCTTATGTGGTGCTGAAGAGTCAAACTCAGGGCCTCATGCAAGGCAAGCACTCGACCACTGAGCCACCTTCCCAGCCCCCCAAACAGTTGTTAAAATTTTTGAATTGAGTAACTTGGGCTCAAAGTAGTATTTTTATGACCAACACATAGGTTCATTTTTGTGTGTATGAGGTTACTGTCACTTGAACTCAAGAACTGTCCCATTTTGCTCACGGTCAGAGCTCTACCACTTGAGATAGAACTCCACTTCTGACCTTTTGTGATTGAGATGAGCCTCACACTTTTTCTCCTCAAGCTGGTTTCAGATTTTGATATTCCGATCCCAGCCTTCAGAGTGCAAACACTGCAACCATGAGGCACGGGCAGCCGTTATGTAAATTTTAATTTTAAGGGATATAAAGCCAGTGTCTATTACTCATGGCCGGGCATTTGCTCAGGCTTATTATGCTGAGATGGATAAGGCTCCATTACAAAGGTTGCTCAGACAAACCGTTAACCAAGTTCTGTCTCAGCAAACAAGTATGTTGGTACACAGTTATAAACAAGGTTGGTGGAAGCTCCAGGCAAAAGCTAGAGCCTATCTAAAAATAGAGCAAAAAATGTGTGCAGGGACGCTCATCTGTAATCCCAGTGGTAGTACAGTGGAGAGTTCAAGGCCACCTTGAACTACATGAGACCCTGTCTTAAAACACATAGTCTGGCAGCACCAGTTGCTCATGCCTATAGTCCCAGCTCCTCAAGAGGCTGAAATCTGAAGATCATAGCCTGAAGCCAGCCTGGGCAGGAAAGTCTATGAGACTCTTTTTTTTTTTTTTTTTTTTTTTTTTTTTTTTTAATTTAATTTAATTTTATTTGTGAACATACTGTACAGAGGAGTTACAGTTACATGGGCAGGATAATGTGTACATTTCTTACCAAGCATTGCAGCCTCCTCCTTTGTTTATCCTTCACATCCCTTCCCAGCCTCCCCCCTCCCCCCCTAATCCCAATCCTTCTCCTTCCTCCCTCCCCCCAGCACCCCCCCCCCCACCAACATTGTAAAGTTCGTTTTGGACATGACAACTTGTACTTCTCTATGAGACTCTTATATCCAATTAACTATAAAAAGCCAGAAGTGGAATTTTGGCTCAAGTGGTAGAGCGCTTGCTTTCAGCAAATGCTCAGGGACTGCATCCAACTCCTGAGTTCAAGCCCCAGGATAGATACAAAACAAAACCCAAACACCTCCCGCAAAATTTGGGGAAATTTGTGTCCTTTAGTAACCACAGTTGCTTCTAGATGAAATTACTGTGTCATGAAATGATTTTGATCTGTGCAGTATCTGAAGCAAACGTGGGGGTAATTTAGTTCAGTATGCTCTTTTCTGGACACCCAGTGTATTTGAGAAGCAGTGCTTCTCCATACCTGAGGTCTCACCTTGTCTGTAATGAGGTAGTCCTGAGAGCTGGGTAGAGGATTAGTATTTTATCTTGTTTTCTTGTCCATGAATGGAGGATGCTGTTGGGCACTGGTGGCTCATGCTTATTATCACAGCTACTCATGTGGCTCAGGTCCGATTGTTGCTTGAAATTAGCTTGGGCAGACAAATCTGGGATATTTTTTTAAGTCCTAGGGCTTGAATTTAGGACTTGGTTGGGGCACTGTCCCCAAACTTGTTTGCTCAAGGCTAGAGCTCTACCACTTTGAGCCACAGTTCCACTTCTGGTTTTCTGGTGGTTATTGGAGATAAGCCTCTCACAGACTTTTCTGCCCGGACTGGCTCTGAACCCTGATCCTCAGATCTCGGCTTGCTGAGTAGCTAGGATTACATTTGTGAGCCACTGCAGGACTCATGAATCTTTATAACCAGTAAAAAGCTGTGAGCTGTGGCTCAAGTGGAAGAGCAACAACCTTTAGAAAATAGCTAAGAGAAAGCTTAAGGACCCAAGTTCAAATCCTAGTACCGCTATAATCACACAAAGCTAAGCAATGGTGTGAGACTCTGACTTCAAGCCCCAATCCATGCTCATGTCAGGCGCCAGTAGCTTGCACCAGTAATCCAACTCAGGAGGTTGAGATCTATGGATTGTGGTTCAAAGACAGCCCAAGCAGGAAAATCTTGAGACCCTTATCTCCAACTAAACGCAGAAGAAGCCAAAAGTAGAGCTGTGGCCCAACTGGTATATTGCTATCCTGGGACAGCCCTTAGGCCCTGAGTTCAAGTCCCAGGACTGGCAAAAAAAATTAAACATATAACCTGCTATTTATCAATTTGGTACAAGTTGAAATGGGCTAGATAGTGTGACACTGCAAAGAACTATGGAAAGGGACTTTGGTTACTTGTTCTTTACTGCTACCCTCAGAGGTTGGGAGGGGTGAGCCACAGTGCCGAGTTAACAGCTCAGAAGGGTCTTGCCTCACTCCTGGGTGTGTACCTGACCTACAATCCACCTGTTTTAGGCCTGCCATCATTGCTTTGATGACAGGTGTATGTGTGTGGCACCAACAGTAATCCTGTTCTTAACTCCCAAGTAACAGCTTTTTTTTTGGTAGTTGCTTGTTTATTGACATTATATCTTGAGTATTAAACATCTTTGGATTATGACATGCATTTACATATTCAAGAAATTGCTACTACATAGCAATGTGGTACTCTTTATTGAGAACTTTCAAGCATGAAAACCCAATGAAGTATTTTTCAGTTTTGTTTATCAAAATACTTCAGTTTTCCAGCTGGATCTGGGATTATCTGTTAAAAACAAGAAAAACAAAATTATTCATTTAAATCCAACGTATGAGTAATTTGATATTAGTTGACACTAGTTTTGTGTTCTTAGCTAAAAAGGGTGATTTTTTTTTTTTGGATACCAAATTATATGTACTGAGGAAAACCTAGATTTTTCCTGACTCAGCTTTCTCCCTAATCTCGGCTATCCTGAAGGGAAAAAAAATTTATTTTTTAATAAATTAACATCTGTACTCCAGCAATCCAAGATTTACTTACAGCTCTTCTCTTGGCCACCAGGCTTTCATGGCATCTTCAGGTTTGATCTAGTTAAATAAACACATTGGTAGCAAGGCTACAGATGTTAATGTATTTTAAAATCCTTTGCTGATTAAATGATGGTCTGCCACCATAACCTGAACAGGGCATAGTGTGTTGAATAAGGATTTATTAAGTGAATTTGGGGGGGGGGGGTTCTAAGAAGCAATATTTTAATTTAAAGCTTCCAATTTTTAAAAAATCAAGTATTACCTTCAATAAACTTAATGAACACTCTGAAATTAAAAGTGCTCCTAGCTGGGTGCTGGCAGCTCATGCCTGCAATCCTAGCTACTCAGGAGGCTGAGATCTGAGCATCACAGTTCCAAGCCAGCCCAGGCAGGAAATCCCCTGAGATTCTTTATCCCCAGTTAACCACCAGAAAACTGGAAGTAGAGCTGTGGCTCAAAGTAGTAGAACACTAGCCTTGTGCAAAGGAGCTCAGAGATAGTGCCCAGAGGACCTGAGTTCAAGCCTATGACTAAAACCAAACACCAAGTGCTCCTTCATGTTGGGCACTGGTGGCTCACAATTGTCATCCTAGCTACCAGAAGACTGAAATCTGAGGATCTCAGTTTAAAGACAGCCCGAGCAGGAAAAGCCGTGAGATTCTTCTCTCCAATTAACTACCTAAAAACTGAAAGTGGAGTTGTGGCTCAAAGTGGCAGAGTGCTAGCCTTGAGCCAAAAAGCAAAATTTACATCATTTGGTTCCCTTGGTTCTCAGACTTTCAGACTCAAGAAATTATAACACTGAGTTTTTCTTCTTAAATAGTGCATTTCTCTAGATACTTAAGCCTACATTTTGCTTTCTCTGGTTTTAGCTACACTTCCTAAAGTTCAAAATGTCTGCATTCTATAATTTGTGCTCAGCAGTGTTTACTTCCTTTATGGAATCGGGGCAGTTTATAGAAGGACAGGACAGACTATCCTAAGGTTAGCACATGTTTTGGACCCAGCCATGCCTTTAACAAGAACATCAAGATGACTTACGGTCTCACTACCAGGTTTCCATCCAGCAGGGCACACTAAAGGAAACAAAATAGGCAAAGGACAGTTTAAAAAGTTTAGTTTTCTTTAGCGACTCCTACACTTGTTTCCATATGAAAATGAAATAGAAAATGTTAACAAGAATATATTGAGAGGAATAAACTCCTGACTTCTGTTTGCCTGCTCAGACTAGGGGATTTGTCAGGCAGTTTATTAAAAGGCAGCTCATTGGTTTTCACTGAAATTTTTTTTATTATAAGGGTGACATGCAAAGGGGTTACAATTACATAAGTCAGATAAAGAGTATATTTTCTTTTTGGACGATGCCATCTCTTTTCCTGCTTCTAGTTTCATTTTTACTATGTTTAGTTATATTTGTGACTTATACTAAATTGAATGTGACTCTAAGATAGTTGGAACTTTGGAGATCTGGCAAAAGTTCCTCTGAATTTAAGAAAACTTCCACTAAGCTTATCAGTCTTCTATCCTGTAGTGTTTTGTACTAATGTCACGATTTGTTGTTTGTAAGAGGACTTTAGGAAGTTCCTTGACTCAAGGACTGAATTATGTTTGTTGTTGGTGATTGCTGGGCTTGAACTCAGGCCTGGGCACTGGCTGTCCCTGAGTTTTTTGGCTCAGGGTTAGTACTCTACCAACTCTAAGCCACAGCTCCATTTCTGGTTTTTGGGTGGTTAACTAGAGAAAAAGAGTCTCGTGACCTTTCCTGACTGACTGGCTTTGAACCATGATCCTTAGATCTCAGCCTCCTGAGCAGTTAGAATTACAGGCATGAGCCACCAGTGCTTGGCCTGAATTGCATTTTTGGGGGGGGGGCAGTTGTGGGTCTTGAACTCTGGGCCTAGGTGCTGTCTCTCAGCTCTTCAGCTCAAGACTAGCACTCTACCACTTGAGCCACAGCGCCACTTCTGGTTTTCTGGTGGTTTATTGGAGATAAGACTCTCATGGACTTTCTTGCCTGGGCTGGCTTTGAACTGAAATCCTCAGATCTCAGCCTCCTCAGCAGCTAGGATTATAGGCGTGAGCCACCAATGCCTGGCTCTGAATTACATTTTTAAAGGAACATATAACATGTTCTATTTTTAGCTCCATTACTGTTAAAACTTGGAAAGGATGAACTGATACGATTAGCAATGTAGTATTGGATCATCCAGAGTATTACATTATTAAAAACAGCTAAATTTAAAACTATAAACATATAAGCGTAGTCTACATTATTAAAATATTGCCATATGGCACATTTCAAGTGTGCAGAAATATAATTTGAAAAATTGTACCAACAGAAACTGCGTTTATCCAAAAACACTATGCAAATGATTATTTTTGCATCTTACTGAGTAAGTAGAATATACTAGTGATATTTTGTTTAAAACCCTGTAAATAAGCTGGGTGATGGTGGCTTGCACCTGCAATCTTAGATACTCAAGAGGCTGAGATCTTAAGATCATGTTTCAAAGACAGCTGGGGAAGGAAACTCTGATCTTCAATTAACCACCCCAAAACTGAAGGTAGAACTGTGGCTCAAAGTGGTAGAGCACTAGCCTTGAGCAAAAAGAGCTCAGGGATGGTGCTAAGGCCCTAAGTTCAAGCACCATGACTGACAAAAAACAAAAACTCTCCTGGGTAAATAATAATTTGGTCTGCTAAAGGAAGTAAACGACTTTAGAAACCATACAAATTATTGTTAGGGTAAGAAACCAAACTCTCGTCTCTCACATAGAGAAAACCAAAAGTTTTGAATGGGCAATGTACCTTCTCCATGCTTGTCGGTGTATTGAAATGCTTGAACCAAACGCAGTGTCTCATCCACTGATCTCCCCACTGGAAGATCATTCAGAGTAATCTGTCTTAGGATCCCTTTGTCATCAATAATAAAGAGACCTCTGTGAAACACAAGAATGGTCTTAGTTACCATGAGTACTGTACTGGATAATGTGAATTCCCTTGCCATCTACACAGAAGGATGCTATCAAAAACAAACATTACCTACCTGGTCACCCACTCTGCTGGTACACACACATGCATACATACGTTCACTCCTCCCTTCAACTATAATATAATTTGGGATTGTCACTGTTAAAAGGGTAACTCTGAACAAAATCTGCAATCTATGAAATCTACTGTAGTATTTATAGCTGCTTAAGATAATCTGATAATTTGCAGATACTTTTTTTTCTTTTTTTTGTGCCAGGACTGGGGCTTGAACTCAGAGCCTGGGTGCTGTCCCTGAGCACTCTTCCACTTGAGCCACAGCTCTGCTTCCTGTATACAATACTTTGAAAATATAAAAGAAAATACTGAATTAAATAAAGTAGCTCATACACTATTAGATGATATTACATGGTCACTGTTCCACAACCTTTTTATGCCAAAATTGCCTTTTTTTTTGGTCGAAGAATGCAACTAGCAGTAACAATTGCCATGTAAGACACTACCTTAGTTTACCCACTCCAAAGACTCAGGTTTGTTAAATATTGTATTTGCATTTAGAAAACCAATTAGTGGATTCATTCTGGGGAAAAAAAAGGTAAAAGTCTGTTCTCTGTCAATTATATAACTAGTGAAGTTCACAGCATTCTGAATCAGTCTCTTTTATCTGTGAAAAGACAGGATTGGCCTAAAACCTCTAAATTAACCTTCCCGCTCTAACAGTATTTGTCAGTAACACAATTTAAGTAGGGCACTCACTAGTTATTTTTATTAAAGAGTGCCTAGCATTTCTGTAAACAGAGCAACATAATATTTCTTGACTAAAACTTGTATCTTCAAACTCATAATGTCTACTTCTAAGAGAATTATAAATGTACTTCTATTTTTCAAAATGTAAACCATTGTAAGGTACCTAAGAGTATGGCCTGCTTCCTCGAGATAAACACCATAGTCCTTTGAGATCTGATGGGTCAGGTCTGAAAGAAGTGGGATCTTTATGGACCCCAGTCCTCCTTGTTTACGAGGGGTATTAATCCTGTAACAAACAGAACACTTCTCAGAGCTAAGCAAATAGCAATATTAAAGCAGTTAGCATTCATTCCCTGTATATGCATATGTGCACATGTGAACACATATTTTAAAACATCTAGTATTCTGTTTTCTTGCATTTTCTCATCAATGAATTCTTTTTTTTTTTTTTTTTTGGGTCCGGTCGTGGGGCCTGAACTCTGGGCCTGGGCGCTGTCCCTCAGCTCTTCAGCTCAAGGCTAGCACTCTACCACTTGAGCCACAGCGCCACTTCCGGCTGTTTTCTTTTTGCTTATGTGGTGCTGAGGAATCGAACCCAGGGCCTCGAGCATGCAAGGCAAGCGCTCTACCGCTGAGCCACCTTCCCAGCCCTCATCAATGAATTCTTAAGCTTTAAGTATTAAACTTGATATATAAAACACATGTTTAGTGTACAGACATACTATACCAGTCTCTACAATAGTTGTTAAAACTGCATTTTTCTTTTAGAAACACAGCTGGAAATATCCTTGTAGTCTCATCTTTGTATACTTGTTAGTTTCTACAATCAAAGAATGTACACAACTACAAACACAATCTTAGAAGTGATCACAAAAGCTGTACCCTGTAGCTCATGCCTATTACCCCTAGTTCCTCTGGAGGCTGAGACTGGGAAGATTACAGTTCAAATCTAGCTTGGGTAGAAAAGTCCATGAGATTTAATCTCTAGCAAAAAGCCACACTGAAGGTATGGCTGAAGTGGTAGAGCTCCAGCTGTGAGCAAATAAGCTGAGCAAGAGTACAAGGCCTGGAGTTCAAGTTCCAGTACTGGCATAAAGATAAACATACACACAAAGACTGATTATAAAACAAAGCCTGAGAGATAGGCAGAACTCAACTGGAGGACCTTTTACTATTTGAGGAGACAAAAAATACAAAGTCCACATGAATTAGTGAAGGAAGTTATAAACCAGATACATCAGTCCTCAGACTTAAGTTTTCTGTAACTTGAAACCACAGAGATTGTGGACCAGTTCTCTATAGGAGGGAACTGCCTGCCCTAGCAGCAAGCAGAGAAATACTGTTCCACAGGTCTCCAGCCCCAGTTCGGACACTAAGTTGAATGGTCCACTTTGGTAGGAAACTTAGCCAGATGAGAATATATCTTCATATTGTGCAGGCTGACATTTTCATCTTTAATTCATATTACAACTAATTAGAACATCTTTTCTGGATGAAAAATTATTTCTGTGCCTGCAGAGGCTCGAACTCAAGGCCTCATGTGCTTGCTTAGTTTTCTAGCTCAAGGCTGGTGGATTACTGGGTTTTTTATTGCTTAGTTGGAGAGAGTTTCTCAGATTTTTTTTTTGTGCAGGCTGACTTCAAACTGTGATCCTCAGACCTCAGCCACTGAAGTAGCTAAGGTTATAGGCGTGAACCACTGACATCTGGCATGATGAATACATTCTTAATAAAGTTAAAAATTGCTTCTTGCTGTGCACTGGTCGCTCACGCCTGTAATCCTAGCTATTTAGGTGGCTGAGATCTGAGGATCACGGTTCAAAGCCAGCCTGGGCAAGAAAGTCTGTGAGACTCATTGCCAGTAAACCACTAGAAAACTGGAAGTGGAGCTGTGGTTCGAGCAGTAGAGCGCTTGCCTTGAGCTGAAGAGCCCAGGGACAGCGCCCAAGTCCAGAGTTCAAGCCCCACGACCACCAAAAAAACAAATTGCTTCTTGAATTTTTAGCATATGTGTTGCTAAAGTGACAACTTTATTGTTTCTTTCTGTTGTGTGTATGCTAGTAGTTGGGGCTTGAATTAAGGGCCCTGTACTATGGCTTGGCTTTCTTGTTCATGGCTGATGCTCTACCACTTGAGCCACACCTTGCATTTATTTCTTTTTGAAAATTATAAAAGGTACTACAAATTTTTTCTACCACACCAGAGAACTGTGTACCACAAAAATGGTGTATTTTGAAGACTTTTTCTCTCCCGACTAATGTGATTCAGTTGATCATCATAATATTGACATGTTAAGAGTTATCTGGCCCATACTCTAAGAGTAAAGACATTCTTTCTATAAAGTTAAATGTGAAACACTGACCAGGCAAGATGGGTAAACTGTGAATCGACAGAGCATGCCACCACTTCAGTATTTATGGATTTGAATTCTTCAATTCGGTCACCGAAAGCGTTAATTTCAGTTGGACACACAAATGTACTGAAAGTTAAAAGAAAAGTCAGTATTCTCATAATAAGCATATACTAAAGTATCAAATGACTTAATTTTACAGACAGCTTTACTATATAATGTTACAAAACTTGGCGCTGGTGGCCCACATCTGTAATCCTAGCAACTCAGGAGGCTGAGATCTGAGGATTGCAGTTCAAAGCCAGCCTGGGCAGAAAAGTCTATGAGACTCTTACCTCCAATTAACCACCAGTAAACCTAAAGTGGCACTATGGCTCAAAGTGGTAAAGCCTTAGCTCAGAGAAAAATCTCAGAGAGACACCCAGGCCTTGAGTTCAAGCCCCATGAGTGACAACAAAACAATAAAGAATGTTATAGATGGGCCTTCTCAAGATGTAATAGTCTATAAACGGCTGTCATTTGATCGAACATTCAACGAAGAAAATTGTTATCTCAATTATATCTTTTTTTGTCAATCACAGGGCCTGGGCACTCTCCATGAGCTCTTTTTTTTTGCTTAAGGCTAGTGCTCTACCAGTTAGAGCCAAGAGCCACTTCTGGTTTTCTGGTGGTTAACTGGAGAAGTCTCATAGACGCTCCTGCCCAGGCTGGCTTTGAACCCCAACCTTGGACCTCAGCTTCCTGAGTAGGATTACAGGAGTGAGTCATCGGCACTGGGCCATTTCATTTTTTACACTGCTAGACCAACTCCTTAAGCTAGAGGGATCAAAGTGTATTTTGGAGTTGAGGCAATATTCTCCATCCCACCTCTATCCCCACCCCCATCCTTGTAGGTCCTCTTCCAACGTGTTTCCGTCCTGTGCAGCCATCAGTTTTAAAACCTCAGTATCTACTCATTGTCAGAAGGGCATGTTGACAGAGTATTACTGAGGGATACTTTTCAAACCACTATAGGAATTCCTTAAGGGAATCCAGTATGTTCTAAACACTTCAACAAGTGAAACAGAAGAGAAACTATGAAAATACAGTGTACATGGAGTGAGCTATCCAAATATAATTGCATACAAGTGCATGTTTGTGTCCAGTAGTGAGAGTCAAAATATTTGATCACCTTTACTTGAAGCTGGTTTTTGCTCTAGAGTATGCTGAAAGGGACCACTTAGGAAGGAAGCTGGGAAAGTGTCCATTACCACAATTACTAGTATGGAAACCTTTTTAACAAAGAGCATGGCTGTGCTTGGGCACATAGCCATGTGTGTTGCCCTATATATGTGTGTATATGTGTATTGGGTGGCAATGAAAAATATATTTCCTACTGTGGGTTATGGCAAAATAATTACAAAATTCATAGAGGGTCCTATCAGAGCCCAATATATTCAAGTGTTCAGGGACAGCACTGCTACGTCAGGCAGAGTTGTATTCTAGGATTTGGTGCTATATTTCATTTTTAAAAATATTTCATTTTTAAAAATAGCAATAGTTTCTGCCTTTCCTCCGACTACTCAAGAAATGCTACCTAGAAACACATTTACCCAAGTTGATCTGAAAGATAACTTGGATTAGTTTCAGTGTGCCTTACCTATTATGGAGTTAGTTTTTAAATAACACTGGGGAAATGTTTTCTTTCTACATTATACCAACTTTGAAAACATGGAGTGTCATATATTTAACACATGTATTAACTTTCTGATATTTTTTGTCGGTTATGAGGATTGAACTTGGGACCTGGGCGCTGCCCCTGAGCTCTTTTTGCTCAAGGATACCTCTCTACACTTGAGCCACTTCTGGTTTTCTGGTGGTTTATTGGAGAAAAGAGTTTCACCGACTTTCCTGCCTGGGCTGGCTTTGAACCATGATCCTCAGATCTCAGCCTCTTGAGTAGCTAGGATTACAGGCGTGAGCCACCGGTACCTGGCCAACTCCTGGCTCTTTAAGTAGTTAACTGGAGATAAGAGTTACATGGGACTTTCCTACCCAGACTGGCTTCAAACTGCAATAAGACTTTCCACCTGGACTAGCTTCAAACAATGATCCTTAGATCTCAGCCTCCTGAGTAGCAGTATTACAGGCATGAGCTACCTGCACCCAGCTATTTTGTTGTTGTTGTTAGTTGTGGGGGCATTGTCCATGAGCTCTTTTGCTCAAGGCTAGTGGTCTACCACTTTGAGCCACAGTACCACTTCCAGATTTCTGGTGGTTAATTGGGGATGAGATTCTCAAGGACTTTGCTGCCTGGACTGGCTTTGAATCACAATCCTCAGATCTCAGCTTCCTGAGTTGCTAAGATTACGGCTATGAGCCACCAGTGCCCAGCCAATGTTCTGATTTTATAATGACCTGAACTTAAAAAGTCTGTCATTTTTTATAGCATGATTTTACTTCTGATTTCTGTTAGAAATTAACTTACTCTTTTTAGCTAATCAAATCACAGTACAAGTTGATTGGAAAGATAACATATTAGTTTCAATGTACTAGGTTTTTTTTTTTTGGGGGGGTCTGGTCGTGGGGCCTGAACTCTGGTCCTGGGCGCTGTCCCTCAGCTCTTCAGCTCAAGGCTAGCACTCTACCACTTGAGCCACAGCGCGACTTCCGGCTTTTTTCTTTTTGCTTATGTGGTGCTGAGGAATCGAACCCAGGGCCTCAAGCATGCAAGGCAAGCGCTCTACCACTGAGCCACCTTCCTAGCCCCTGTACTAGGTTTATTATGTTTTTTTTTTTTTTGGTCCGTCATGGGGCCTGAACTCTGGGCCTGGGCGCCATCTCTCAGCTCTTCAGCTCCATTTGAGCCATAGTACCACTTCCGGCTTTTTCTGCTTATGTGGTGCTGAGGAATGGAACCCAGGGCCTCATGCATGCAGGGCAAACACTCTACCTCAAGAGTGAGGTGTACTCAAAATAGCACTTTCCAAAATAAAGTCCTTGATGTGCATAGAGCTACAATTTATTTTGAGTCAACTTTCTAACCCTCTATAAACATGGTCATTGTTAGTTTTAAAGAAAAAACCCACAATAACCATACTAGTAGGTATTTTATTTTCAGGAAAATGTTCAAATATCAGGAAAGCAACACAAAGCCAAACAAAAAATTACATCAAACAAGCTGGGCATCAGTGGCTCACACCTGTAATCCTAGCTACTCAGGAGGCTGCGATCTGAGGATCGCGGTTCAAAGCCAGCCCTGGTAGAAAAGTCCATGAGACTCATCTCCAATTAACCACCAGAAATCTGGAAGTGGTTCTGTGGCTCAAGTGGTAGAGCGCTAACCTTGAGCTGAAGAACTCAGGGACAGTGCCCAGGCCCAGAGTTCAAGCCACAAGACTGGCAAAACAAAAACAACAACAAAAACCCTAATCATATTTCATTGGATGCCAGTATTCCCAGCTACTTGGAAGACTGAAATTGTTGAGATTGTGTTTTGAGGTCAGTCTGAGTAAACACATTTTTGAGACTCGGTCTCAATGAGGAGCTGGACATGGTGGTGTGTTCCTGTTGTTCTGGCTATGAGGAAGTCTAACACATGTGGATCACACCCATGCACCTATGCAGGAAGCCAGACTCTACCTCAAAAATAACCAGCAAGGATCAGATCAGGGCTGGAGGTGTGGCTCAGCCCTGTCTAGCATGTGTGAAGTCCAGTTCAAACCTCAGTAATGCCCTTTTTTCCCTGTCACTTGATGTTCTTAATAGTGAGTGATAAAGATTGAGGTTTTATAGGTTGCTATTTACATGTACTACTTACAAATCAAGCGGGTAGAAGAAAAACACCAAATATTTCCCGCGGTAATCAGTCAATTTCAGCTCCTTGAATTCTCCATCGATCACAGCAGTTCCTTCCCAATAAGGTGCTGGCTTGGAAACTAAAAGAAAATGACATGGTGTTTGTAATACTGAGAAAACAGGTGGGATGACAAGGACATCTTTAGAAACGTCACTAGAAATTAGGGCTTCGAAACTTTTGGATCTCCCTTGGCAGTCTGGTGATACAGACCTCTTAAAACAGTGCTATTGAACACATAAAATACATGGAATTACAAAGAAAACCAACTATAATGAAAACCCAGCATCAAAGTATTCAAAAAAAACTGTTTATAGAGTAAAATGTGCCCCTTTATTAGCACTTTAAAGCCGCAAGATCTGTTCGTGACTGTAGCTATCAAAGAGGACAATGAGTGCACGCGATATTTCAGAGTAACTGCAACAGCCCCTGACATAGTACGAATGATGAAAGACTCCACTCGCAATGAGTCCAGGCAAGGACTGCTGATGGCCAGCACAGGAGATAAGCCTACATTTCAGCTGGAGATTAGAGAAAATTCAAGTTTTTTTTTTCTGAAGCAGAGACTGGCTTTAATATCTACTTAATTTTAAAAAGTTGTTATAAAGGTGATCTACAGAGGGGTTACAGTTACATAAGTCAAAGTGTGTATTTTTTTTGGACAATGTCACCCCTTCCCTTCCTCTCTCTTTCACTCAGTTTTTCCCTCCAATAAAGGTTTTTTGGAATATAAATTTTATTATTGGTATTATATTATATAACATATATTAATTGGGTAACACAATAGGAAGACTTCTTTTTCCATTCCAGGCTCTTAAGCCCCCATCTGCAGTTGGGTGATTTTTTTTTGTCCGTCATGGGGCTTGAACTCAGTGCCTAGTGATGTCCCTGAGTTCTTTTTGCTTAAGACTAGTGCTCTAGGGCTGGGAAGGTGGCTCAGTGGTAGAGCGCTTGCCTTGCATGCCTGAGGCTCTGGGTTCCATTCCTCAGCACCACATAAGCAAAAAGAAAAAAGCCGGAAGTGGTGCTGTGGCTCAAGTGGTAGAGCGCTAGCCTTGAGCTGAAGAGCTGAGGGACAGCACCCAGGCCCAGAGTTCAGGCCCCACGACCGGGAAAAAAAAAAAAGACTAGTGCGCTACCATTTTGAGCCACAGCACCACTTCTGTGTTTTTTTTGTTTTTTTGGTCAGTCATGAGGCTTGTACTCTGGGCCTGGGCACTGTCCCTGAGCTCTTCAGCTCAAGGTGAGCACTCTACCACTTGAGCCACAGCGCCACTTCTGGTTTTCTGGTGCTTAATTGGAGATAGGAGTCTCATAGGGGAATTTTCTGCCCCAGCTGACTTTGAACTGCAATCCTCGAATCTCAGCCTCCAGAGTAGAAAGGAGTATAGGCAGAAGCTACTGGTGCCCTGCTGCCCCCTACTGGACACTTCACTCCAGCCCCTCTCTATCAACTTCCTGCATTTCAAATAATTAGATGTTCATCTCTCTACAGGCAGTCCTCCAAATGTACTAACATTTTCCAGCTTCTCACATACACAGGGAGGCACATACACAGAGAGGATTTAGCTGCATTGGAGGAGGAGGAGGTGTGAAAATACTTAAGGGAAGAAGGGAATGGTTCCAGATGGTGGTACTGTTTTGTTGTTGCCAGTAGTGCGCCTTGAACTCTGGACTCCTTCAACTCCTTTTGCTCAAGGCTAGCATTCTACCACTTGAGATAACAGCATCAGTCTGGCCTCTTCTGTGGTTCATTGGAGCTATGAGTCTCATGGTCTTTCCTGCTGAGGCTGGCTTCGAACCGTGATCCTCATATCTCAACCTTCTGAGTAGCTAGGATTACGGGCATGAGCCACTGACATCCAGCTATGGTCGAGTTTTTCTAAAAGGCCTGTAAAAGGAGACTCCCTTGAATAGGTTTTAAGTGACCTGATGGGAACTAAATAGTGCTGCTCTCTTGTAAAGACATACAGTAACTCTAGCCAGCACAATGTTCTTTTATGCTGTTAACACAGTTGGATGTCACTTTACACTTTCAGAAGCATTACGTACATACATTGAGGTCAGTGTCTGCTCCCAAGTTTGACTAGGGGTCCTAGAAAGTATGGGTAATGGTTTTATATAACAGCCAGTATGGTTGCTTTACGAAGAGACTGATGATGAACTTCTCTGTGAAGTTAATATATAATGTAATTACTTACCTGGAGCCAGAAACATAACATATAAATTATCCTGATGTGATTGGGAAAAGGCAAGGGGTACTGATATATTGATATGTGTGTACATATAAATATATATACATATATACACACATGCGTGTTATATATAGAATTCATATATATTACTTAACACATTCCTTTGGCAAGAGGTTATAATAATTCTAATGACCTGTTATACAAGAAGGATTTTAGCATATACGGCAAAGCATGTGGGAAAAATAAATTTTGTCCTGAAAACTAGTTTTAGAAACACTGGTTCTTGATTTAACTAGTTACTTTGCTAAGATCTATAGAGTTCTCCCAAGTTCCCAAAACAGTCCTTTATATGGATTAAAAAACAAAATGTCCTAAGTATAAACTTTATGATTAACATAAAGATTCTTCTGGAAAACGCAGAGAAGTATAATGGCTCTTTTACTTTCCTTTATAACCTCCCTTAACTACTGTTAACACTTTAGTGTATTACTAATTTGGATGTTGCACTTCCATTATTTTCCTTTTCTTTTTTTGGTCGATAGTGGGGCTTGAACTCTGGGCCCTCAGCTCTTCAGCTCAAGGCTAGCACTCTACCACTTGATCCACAGCGCCACTTCTGGTTTTCTGGTGGTTTATTGCAGATAACAGTCTCATGGACTTTCCTGCCCGGGCTGGCTTCAAACTGGGATCCTCAGATCTCAGCCTCCTGAGTAGCCAGGATTACAGGTGTGAGCCACCAGCCCCATAGTTTTTCCATTTTTTTAAAGGAAAAGGTAATTAGGACCAGTTTTTCATGTTATTAAAAATGATTTGCAAACATGTTTTTCGACATAACAACTTGTACTTCTCATTATTGCAACGGGTCCACCTGTATCCTTATTTAAACGACTTGTTTTTTCCCATGGGAAGGGATGGGAAGGGGAAACAAAGGAGGAGGCTACAATGCTTGATAAAAAATGTACTCATTATCTTGCCCATGTAATTGTAACCCCTCTGTACAGTATTTTCACAATAAAGAATAAATAAAAATAAAAAAATGTTTTTAACATTTTACTCTTTTTAAAACTAGTGGTACAAAGAGGTTACAATTCCATGTCAAGTTATAAGAACAATGCATCTTGATCAATGTGAAACATGTTTTAATGGCTCCATGATATCCCATCTGTTGGATAAAAATTTGTGGATCGCTAGATAAATCCAATATGATATAAAAAATGTAGCAAATAATAACGATTTGAAAAAGTTAGTTGCCAAAGGGAAATATTACTATCATTTTAACTTCCAAAAGCAATTTTGAAGGTTTTTTCCCCCCCAGAGCAATCATATAATGCCCATAAACACCTAACTGGCTGCCATATTTCAACACATCTTACCAGGTAATTAAAAACAATGGAGCCTGAAAACTATAAGATGATTAAAAAAAAATTAAGACTGGCTTAGTAAAAGCAAAAAATCCAAAAGTAGGTGGGCTTTGGTGGCTTCTATAATCCTAGCTACTCAGGAAACATTGCCGAGACTCCAGCCAGCCAAGGCAGATCAACTCTAGAGGCTCTTATCCCCCTAAATAATCAGCAAAGCAACAAAACATAACTGGAACTGTAGATGTGGCTCAAGTGGTAGAACAGCAGGTGGGAATTGGAAAAGCAGATGGAGAGTGCAAGGCGCTGAGTTCAAGGCCCTGGACCAGTACTTCTCCCCAAAACAACAACAACAACAACAACAACAACAAACCTAGGTACTTTTCAGTATGAAAAGACAAATTAAGAAGGCAAAATAGTTTTCCTCATGTATCACTCCCACCCCCCATCATAAGCCGTAACAACATCCCATTTATTTCTGGGGACTCATAACTGTGAAGCATTACCTTTGCCATTGAATATTAGCACAGAGTGTGCTCTAATAACTACAGAAGCCAAATACAGCCCTACAGAATGTCACACGATTCCTACGGATAGCAGGTAAGAGATAGTCTTTATCTGTAACCTCTGGTCACTGTTTTTTCACTAATTTTAACCAGATGCAATTGGTTACAACGTTCACAGTATCTACGTACTCTGACGTGTCCTTCCCGAGAGTGGCTTTTAGCTTTGTACACTGGACAGGAATTTTGCACACTGAACAGGGAACGCAAATAATCAAAAGCCAAATGGGCAGGGCACAACTTTGTCACTATTTACCACCGACCCAAACTGTTCCTTTCAACCTCGTTTTTTTTTTCTATTTCCTGCCAAAGTACAGTTTTCTGTGAATCACAAAGAATAGCTGTTAAATATACAACTTTTAGGGAAGATGGATTTTAGTCCATTAAGATGCTACCAAAGAAGGTGAAACTTTTGAACTCCCCCCAACATTTTGTTTAGTCACTTTTTTTTTGTTTAATCAAACTTTCTGTGAATCATTATTCAACCTATCAATGTACTTTCTTCCCTGAAAAACTGCAGGCAAAGAAACGGTAGTGCCTCAGGCACTTTACGATACTTCAGGAAGTATTTGCTCAACATCCTCAATGCCTGCAACGGGACTAGAGTCACCCACTTTCCCTCATCTGTGGCTTTTTGGGGTTACCACTACCTCCTCCAAAAATCTGATCACTGGAAACTATCTTTTTTTTTTTTACAATTAGAACCCTCGTTCTTCTCCCCACCAAGGAAAAAGCCAGGCTGACTCAAGGCCCGGAGGCAGCCTGGGGGATTCCGCCCAACTGCAGCGTCCGCCCCCCCCCCCCCCAGCTCCCCCACCCCCATCCGCCTCGGTAGCATCCGAAAGCAGGGTATGCAAGTCCCGGGGTTCTCCACACACATCCCCATCCAAACCCTGGAAGGGTATCACCTACTCTTGGCTTTGCTTAGGTGCACAGAGTGGTCTGAGGCAGACACTCGGGACGCCTCTCCGGGGTACACTTGTCCACCCGCGTAAAAGTGGCACTTATCTTCGCGGGTCCAGGGCCTCTCCTCAATGTCCAAGCTCTGCAGAGTTCTGGTAGGCAGCAAGAGCAGCAGCAAGAGCAGCAGTAGTTTTTGGCTCCAGCGAGGGGCCGGAGTTGTCGCGGCGAAGCTAGCCGAGGACGCCTCCATGACCACGCGAGCACAAAAACACGTCCCTACGCGCGAGCCCGCTTTCTCCCGCCGCCGGGAAGCTACGACCTCGTGCACGACGCCCGCGAGAACAAGGGCGCGGCCTCAAGAGGCCGGCTCCGCCTCGTCCCGCCCACTCAGCCCCGCCCCTCCGCCACGTGGGTGCTGCCTCCTCCTTTCCCCAGAGGGCATTTGCGCCTGCGCCTTGGGGATGGGCCTGGATGGAGCGTTGTCTTTCTCTGAGCCGGCCGCTTTGGGGCGTGGCTTCTGGCTGGCCTCCCGAGCTTTGAGTTGAGCCTTTGTTTTAGTCCACGCCCGCTTCTTCCCCAAAGTCTCACTACTGTGCCCAATCTTCAAAAGCTAGAACAGAACAAGCCAGGCATCGGCGCCTCACGCCTATAGTACTACCTACTCAAGAGGCTGGGATCTGAGGAACACGGTTCAAAGCCAGCCTGGGCAGGAAAGTCCATGGACTGCACGGTGGCTCAAAGTGGTAGAGCGCTCTCCTTGAGCACAAAGATGCCCAGGGATAGCGTCCTGGCCCTGAGTTCAAGTCCCATGACAGAAAAAAAATTAAAGAAGGCTGAAACTCTCCTACATGTTTAGGAATAGCTTGGACTTTATACTTACTATACACTTTAGAAATGTGGCTAATAGAGCTGCTGCCTCATTTCTACAATTCTATTCAATATTCTGATGGTCTTGCCATGAAGCCAGTATAGGCTACAAAGTCTATAGGATTCTTATCTCAAATTCACCACCAAACGCAAAAGCCAGAAGTAGAGCTGTGGCTCAAGTGGTAGAGCACTCTCCTCTGAGCAGAAAAACGTAGAAAACACTGCCAGACATCGCTCAGGCCCTGAGTTCAAGCCCTGGGACCAACACACACACACACACACACACACACACACACACATTCAATTGGCAAACCTTAATTGTATACATGTGATACAACGGGAATGGGTAAATGAATCTATCCCGCACCTCTTTTTCCTCTTTTGTGAGGTTGTGTGTGTGCTTTTTGTTTTGTTTTATTTTTGGCTGGGCTTGGAGCTTGAACTCAGGTCCTGTGCACTATCCCTGAGCCTCTTTGTGCTCAAGGCTACTGCTCAACCACTTGAACCACAGCACCACTTTGGCTTTTTCTAACATCTGGCTTGGAGAGATTTTTGAAAAATTGAAGTACATATTATTTCTGAATTACCTGTTAAGTTACCAGAGGCTTATGTGAGGAGGGAGGGGAGAAGGAGTTTTGACAGCATAAAAATTGTTGGTGAAAGCCAAGTTTTGGATAGCAAGAACGTAATGCACATTTACTTTTAAGTGATTTATATGAACAGTTATAACTCAGTGATTCCAACCCTTTTAAGTCCCGGGAAGACTAAAGACATGTCTATCTGTAGCCAGATGACACGTTTGTGTGTGGGTTTTGTTGGTCGTGGGGTTTGAACTCTGGGCCTGGGCGCTGTCCCTCAACTTTTCAGCTCAAGGCGAGTGCTCTACTGCTTGAGCCACAGCGCCACTTCTGCTTTTCTGGTGGTTTATTAGAGACAAGAGTCTCACGGACTTTTCTGCCCTGGCTGGCTTATGAACCTCGATCCTCAGATCTCAGCCTCCTGAGTAGCTAGGATTACAGGCGTGAGCCACGGGCACCGGGTGAAAAGATTAAGTCATTCAAATCTGTGTTTGCCAGGTCATGGGGAGTGGGGAGGCTCACACCTATAATCCTAGCTACTCAGGAGTGTGAGATCAGCCAGCCCAGGCAGTAAAGCACCAGAAAACTGGAAGTGGCGCTGTGGCTCGAGTGGTAGAGCGCTAGCCTTGAGCTGAGCAGCACCCAGGCCACTCTGAGCTGTTGGTTCAAGCCCCACGACTGACCAAAAAAAGAAAAAAAGAAAAAAAAGAATATTTCTCTCTCTAAATTGACAAGTTGTTTCCAGAAAATACCGTATCCTAACAGAGTTGTTCTACTTTTGAAAATCACTAAAAACTCCTACCCCAACCCCTTCCCTGCTTGAGGCTGCCTGCCCCCTCGCTGACAATCTTAGCCTACGCCACACGATTGTCCCGCCCACCCACGACGTTCTGTTGCGTGCCCCACGGGCCTCCAGTGACGTTTGCCCGGGTGCAGCTTCTCGAAGATTCTGCCTTTGCGCCTTTACTAGTCTTCTCCCCCTCCCACCTGACCATACTTCCGCCTTCTTCCCTTCTCACACTTCCTCCCTCTCCGTTTCACATTTCCGCTCCCTCTCACTTGCCCCGCCCTCAACACTGCTGTAGACCAATCATTTCCCCCATGGAGCTTGGGATTCGCTTTCAGCCCTCAGAGCTTTAAGCCCCACCCATTGTTCCAGGTCTTCCTCTTTCCCAGCATCGCCTCCGCCCTTTAAGACAGCGTCATTTGGCCTTGAGGAGTGAGTGAGACCTGCTTGTTCTCCTTCAAGGCTCCGTGATGGCCGCCATTCTACCCCAGTTTAGGGGCAATATGTCTCCAAATACCCTTTATGACACTAATAGTCATGTTTTTGGTAGTGATGCTCGTATGGAAACAGGCCAGCACCTTTCTAGACGTTGCTGTGGGGAAAACTGGGGGAAAAATCCTAGCTGAAGGGCCCATTTCTTCCCTTTTGGAAGGAAAAATACAGGACAAACAATCAGTTCGGTCACTGACGGAGGCATCTCCAGTGTGTATTTTTGCGGGGTGGGGGCTTCGGTCATGGGGCTTGAACTCAGGGTGCTGGCCTTGAGCCTGTTTTGCCCAAGGCGAGCATTTTACCACTTGGAGCCACAGCTCCACTTCTGATTTTTAGGTGTTTAATTGGAGATAAGAGTCTCACGGACCTTCCTGCCTGGGCTGGCTTTGAACCGTGGTCTTCAGATCTCAGCCTCTCGAGTACTTAGAATTACAGGTGTGAGCCACCAGCACCCAGCTCAGGTATGTTTTAATTCTTGCTAGTACTAGGGTTTGAACTCGGGGCTCTGAGCATGGTAGGCAGACACTCTATCATACCCTCCCAGGCCACAGGTGTCCATTATTGTTTCTTAAACAAACACATAAAATTGTAGTCAGGTGTGGTAGCCCATACCAATAGTATCAGATTGAGGAAACCAGCACTGTTTTACCAAACCCTATTTCAAAAAACTAAAAGACCCCCCCCCCCCCAACCCCGTGCAAGAAAAAAGCCATCCTAAAACTCGTCCAAAATTCACTTTGTGGCAGCAATGGGTCTTGTACTCAAACCCTGGATCCTGTCCCCTAGCTTTTTCTGCTCAAGGCTGCTGGTGGTATATCACATGAGCCATAGCTCCACCTCCTGCATTTTAAAAATCAATTTATTTTTATATTTATTCATTTATTTTTGTGCAGGTACTGGTGCTTGAACTCAGGGCTGGGCACTATCCATTAGCTTTTCTCAAGATTGTCAGTTTTTTTTAAAAAACTTGTTCTGGACATTTTCTCTAAGCCTGTCTGTGCTCATGGCTAATGATCTACCATTGAGCCAGTATCGCACCCTGGCTTTCTGGTGGTTAATTAGAGATAAGAATCTCATGAACTTTCCTGCCTGGGCTGGTTTCAAACCATAATCCTCAGATCTCAGCCTCCTGAGTAGCTAGAATTATAGTCATGAGCCACCAGCGCCTGTCTCGGTGGTTTTCTTTTAAAATTTATTTTTATATTATATCTTTTATCAGTCATTTATTTTGTGTGGGTGCTAGGGCTTGAACTAAGAGCCTGGGTTCTGTCTTTGAGCTGCTTTGTTTAAGGTAAGTACTCTACCACTTGGGCCACAGCTCCATTTTTAGCTTTTTGGTGATTAATTGGGAGATTAGAGTATGACAGATTTTCCTGTTTGGGTTGGCTTCAAACCATGATCCTTAGATCTTGGCCTCCTGAGTAGCTAGGATTATAGGCATGTGCCCCTATAACCAGCCATTTTTCATCTTCTGACAATTACCCTGTTGGGTGGGAATGGCTCAGAGAAAATACACACTACACACTAGAAAGGTGGGAGTAAACAGTAGTCTTCATGTCCCTCATTCTTCCTTCTTTTGGAGACTTCTTACCTTTCTGATTCCCCCAGAAGCCATCCTAACTGTTTGTCTTTATTACAGATTGTCATCTCTCTGAGATTGAAATCACATAATTGGTCTTTGTTTTCCAAAGAAGCACTTCAGTTTGGTAAGTAACAATATTCCAGGTAGTCTGTTTTAGTTTCAGATTGCGTTCCTGTATTATAATTTAACTCCTTGTGACAACTCCTTGGGACAGATGTAAAATCTGCCTTTTCTAAATTCATCCCTCACCCTGTTTCTGCCCATTATATGCTCCCTTTCTACCTCGTGAACCTTAGCTTCTCTGGACAAAGGAAGGCTGAGGCAGGAAGAGTATGTTCTTACCCGTCACGCTTTCCTGCAGCTCTTCATTGTCTGGAGGTTCAGAGTTAAGAGCCCGATGGCGAGGAAGAGTTTGTTCTCTCTCCCACTCTTCCCCTTCTCCGGCCTCTTGCTCCACATGTAAGGGGACGGGAGTCCTGGGGGTTCTGAGCTGATTCACAGGGATTCGGTTCAGGCCTATACCCCGTGATCGGCTTCGGTGATCCATGGTGACTGTTGAACAAACAGCCACAAGTCTCGAATGGTAGGCCCTGAGCTGGCTCTCTTAAGCTTGGACCTGGGTAAGGAAGTTGGTGGGGAGTGTTTTTGTCCCTATACCTCTTCGCCCTAAACTGAGCTGGGATGCCCCATTTGGTAGCCTGGACTGCCCAACAAGTGGGCTCTAGTAAAGCCCCTGCCCACTGGGGCAAGTGAGCAGTTGGCCAGCTTGCAGGCGCTCTGTGCCCCTCAGTTCACAGACACCCCTTAATAGCTGACATTCTGAGTGTCATATCTGCATGCATTGTGCTGTCACAATGAGATTCACCAGGAAGCTTGAGGCCCTACCCTCAAGGCGCTTACCATCCAGTTGGAGCCAGTTACTCGTTAATAATACAAAACCATCAGATTCAGAGAGGTGGCAATAAACCCAGGGCGTACTTTACAAGCACATGGAGCAGTAGTGCAGGGAACTACAAACCCAGAGACTGGTATCTCCAATGA